TACCCAGGCGGTAACATAGAAATGACTTGGGCTAACGAACATGAAGTAGATAACCACAAAGACCTCATTAATAGATTTTTCAAAGAGAGCCCCTCAAGGCAATTGATCCACCCTATTAAAGTAAATACGTACAAAAAAATTCTCCATGACTCGGCATATGATACTCTGGAAAATGACCAAAGTTACAGAAGCTTTTAACCCTGGGAGCTTTATATAAAATATCCTTTTTGATGATGTGGACCGTGCCGTCTCCCTATTGATTTTAATTGTCAAAGGAGTTGAGGTTTGACCTATAATTTTTGGGACACAAGTTATTGAAGGGAGGCATAGCGCAATATTCGGTGCAAGACCCTTTCATTTCTAAGCCATTTGCCCTCGCGATTAGTTCGCTTAATTATTTTTACATTACCCACATGTATATATGACTTGGTCAGCTAGGAAAGCTTGAGTTTCGTTTATTTTCTTTATAGTCGGGATTCGACCCTTGTTTTGTTCTTCTTCCTGTTCTTGTTCTTGTTCTGATTTTTTTCTTATTCTTATTCTTATTTATATTTTTATTTTTGTCCTGGCCCTGTTTCTTTTGTTTTATTCTGCACTCATCAAAATATTCGATTAAACATATAATTTTACTAATTATTTACTCTTATTTCTGGTTGCACAACGCCCTTCCATCTTTATAGAAGTAACTTCCTTTAGGGTCGTTACAAGGGGCGTCAAATCAGGGTTACGATAGTTAGTTCAAAATTTAGGACCACAAAGAAATAACGTCAATGATTGGAGTGCATTAGCTCTAGCGTAAACAAACTGATTATTACTTCAACTTTATGAAAAGAAAACTTGGGAGTCTACCATGCATTGTGTAAAAAGAACTTGATGTCGTAATGGGGAGCAGAAAAAAAATTATTTAAACGAAACAGCTAATGACTAATAAATATTTAGTATCAATACATAAATATGGGGAAAGTAATGTGTTTGCCAAATCATTTCAAGTTTCCCCGTCCAATGAAGGCAGACACTTTGCTAACCTTTTTTTTTTAGTACCGGCATACTATGACTTAAGCCGCTTAATCTGGATCCCCCTCTACTGCAGGGGTTGGAGCACGAGTTTTTACCAGTGCACGCTTTTATAGAGCTAAATGGCTGTCCCGAAGGACTGAAATTTTGTTAACCTAATGTAAACTTAACTTTATTATGTCACGTGCTCATAACACACGTTTTTCCACACTTCGCTTACTCCTTTTACTCTCCTTAAAAGTGTGGTACACCCTTCCTCTACGTAACAATAAATTCCTCTCTTTTTCCGACCACTTATTTTTGCCTTTATAGTCGAATAGCATAAAAAATAAGGTGTCAAGAGAATTAGTTTACTTTAAAAAAGCTAAGCTTATGCATATGATAAAAGATAAGATTTAAAGTGAGATAGTGGATGCAGTGAATTATGCCAGAGCTTTGAAACACCAACACTGTCCTTTATTTTTTGTTTCATATATCATCTTTAAGTTTTTCGGTAGGCACAACTTGGTGTGCAAGTTTGCCGAATTGTTCTTTAAAGTAAAACATTTTAAGGGGGCACAGTATTGCTCTTCGGCTCACTACAAATGCGAAGCTATCATTACTTAGGTCTGGTCTGATCGTCAGCATTAAATTAATCCTGGTCCACATTAGATGCGTCCAAGCCTGGGTTGTAGAATTTGTTTTAAGTAAACCAAGTTGCCTTCTCCATTAATTCAATAAATGAATTTTGTTTGTAGGGTAGTTGTACGCCCGACCAGAAAAATGTGAGCTGTCGCAGACGGGAATCGAACCGCGACCTAGAGATTGCGCGAAATTGCTCACCACTGAGTGACGGTGACAACTCACATATTCGTCGCCCCGAGTTGATGTGGGAATTGACCGCCCTACTCATTTTCCTCTCGGGGTGGACACGACTAGGTGATCGAACGAGAGATCGTAGTAAAGAAAGTCTTTAAGTATACTAAATTGTCCTAGCCCATGTATTGAGATGAGAAGACGCACACAGTGAATTCTTTTGGCAGTTTAATACCATTAGGCGCTCCATGTAAATTTCCTTATTGGTGGCATAATATAGGCACCATCTAAATCAAATTGTAATACCCCCATGTTTACAATCGCAGCCATACAAAAATATAAACACAGATCTGAAGTAAATTACTGAGCTGAAAGTATCTATGTAGTCGAGTAAGTATATTTGTGTGTAGTTTTTAGCACACATGCAGTTCTTAAATCAGCAATACTTTTCATCTTTAAGATCCACTTGCAGCCAATTTTTCGATATACTAGGTTTACTGAAGGAGAAGACATCATTTCAAAGGTAGGTAAGCGCTGGGTTCGGATACAGCATCTGATGCCTGTATGCTCTCCAAATGTACAACACTAGCCGCGTCGTGTTACTGGTTCAGTAATTACAGCGTTCGGTTTTGCGGGCGAGTTCATTGTTTTCTTAAGAAAACAAACTCTTTGAAGGTTACTAAATATGTATTGTATATATTATAAAAATGTCTATATCCTTTAAATGAGTTAAGATTCCAGGTGACTGAATCTACATATACTAGCTTACCAACTTTTGAGGCAGAGCATATGGCCTATTCGCATGAAGGAATAAAAGGGGAGGAATTTATGCCACCACCCACTGCAAGCCAGCAAGTTTGAAATCTCTTTATTTATAATTATAAATAGTATATCCTCTATAAGTTAGATCCGAGGTAAAGGTGGTAAGTATACAATTTACATTTCTACATTTTGAATAGTTTTTACCGGAAGACACCGCAATATTGTGGTCAATTTAAAAATTGTAGCGGACACTAGAAAACAAGTGCCAACATGGGCCAAAGTTTATGAAATTTTTATGAACATTCTCACGCAGCATCAACTTGTATAAAATCTTAATTTCCCTATTCAGTTTCCTCGAGAGCTCTACAAGCAGCCCTCTCTTAAGTATAAGTTTGCCTCTTTACAATCCTACAAAAAATTATTTGTGAACAGAGAAAGAATTTTTTTCTTTGTCCAAGTTTGACTTAAAACCAGGACGTAAAAGAAACAGTTATGAATACTATTAAACTAATATTATCACAATCCTACAGAATTCGACAGAGTTGTTCAAATTAAATCTAGTCTCCCCGCAAACGACGATTTAAATAAATAATGAAATTCTATTGCCACTTTTTGCATTTTAAAAAGTTTACCTCGTGACGTGGGCGTCAAGGTGCTCGGTCGGTTATGCCCGAAGCTAAAATTTAGTGGCAAGTATCGCTGAATCCCGTCGCCAATAAAGCAGCTGTGGGGAAGGAAGCTATCAGTAGTGTTGAAACCATCATTGACACTAAATCATTTGAAACGTTCGTAGTACTCTATATAAAAGTCTTGTGGTCATTTCTACTAAGGACATTAGTATTTTCTTATAAACAGCAAATTTTTTTAACTTTAAACCAATTGGTAAACATTTCCTCATAGGCTAAAGCAAGCTTTGTAACGCTACAGATTAATAAAGACGTGATGGCCTTTTAAAAAAAGAAAAAAACTTTTATTGCAGTACATAAGAAATTTTAAAAAAAAATTTACTAGTTATTTTCTAAAGATTTACTTTACTGCTCTTAACTTTAGTTATAAGGCTTTCAGTTCTAGTAATGACGTGTCATATAAAATATAGATCGCGCCAAACTTTTTTTTGCTACAATATATTTATAATAGAAAATTTTATGCAGAATATTGTCTATATATAAGAATATACAATTAGATATTTAACTTTTGGAAGACTACTTAAAATAATTGAGTTGAGTTCAATAATTTACTAGTTAAGTTGTAGTTACGACAAGAGACAAGCTAAACAAGTTATAAACAAAAGTGGCTAAAAAAATTTTTATATAAATTAAACTATGTCACTAAAGCAAAGAAGCAAATAACAGAAAATATTACAATAAAGTAAAATAGATTAATATACTGAAAGAGGCACACTTTTAGCTGTAGTAAAAAACTCGTCGGCAAGCTACATGAGGTTAGTTTTATAGAATAATTCTTTATTTAACAATTTAAGTTATTAGATGATACAAAATATTGAATAAAAAAGCTACTTAATAATTTAATAGTAAAGTGAAAGAAACGACGGGTGGTTGACGTTTATTTATTTTAATAGAAGTCAACACAAAAAAGTAGCGGAGTCGCGTTGCAGTAAACCGCACAGCAGGTTGTTGGGGGTAGTTTGCATGTTTAAATTTTTTGTGATTTGCCTCTGCTCTATTATTGCCCACATCAACTGAACTTTTCTCTAAACCGTTCGGTTTCCTCATGGCAGCGATAACTTTTTGATACTATTTGATTAAAAAAATTTTTACTTTACTAATTCCAAAAAAAAAACACCTAGTACTATAAGTTAAGTTATTACTTTCTAAGTCAGAAACTATAAGCTATAGCTAACCTCTATTCCAAGAGCTACCATAAAACATAAAGAGAATTACTTTAAGTAACTTGTTATGTTGGTGTAAACTTGTGCCTTTAGCATTCGAAGTGCACTATGATGGCTTTGTACGTAGCGTGTACTCTATTTCAAATATTATTTTTATACGCTTTCATCTTATGATCCACTGCTTTTTCAAAATAACTTTTGTTAAAGGGAATTTTGATGTGTATACAGGCTTATTAACCTGTCTATTGTACTGTTTTACTACAATATTTAATGCTAGATAGTAAAAAAAAAATAAGAAAATTCCCCCCCACTCTCGAAGACCCACACGTGGGAGGCATTAACGCTGCACACTTCTAAAGTAATCTTACAAAACTGACTGTTTTACCAAATTAATAATTATTATCAAGGAGATCTACTTTAAAAGGTTGATAATTAGTGGCGTATGTATACAAAGTATATCTTTTAATATCGAGGGATCTTTAGAAAAAAATGAATATTGCGACATGCCTTGCCACAAAAACGTGACTCATAAACTTCCAGGTTTATAACTTTTAGAATGATTTTTATCAAATATCGCAAAAATTCAAATTTCTTATACAGCACTTGCAAAAAGTGTATTTAGCCCCATGCCGGAGACTTGCAGTAGAAAATGTCAAGCTTGTTATCCTTGGCAAACATCTATTTAATAAATAAAAAGTATAACCGCGAAACAAAATTTTAAGAAATAAAATGATGGTAGGGTAAAATAAAAAAAATACCTCAAAAAGATTTTTAATGGGTTCGTCGGGGGAAGGGCTAAAGGCTTGGTTGATATATAAAAACTATTAAATAGTAACTTTAGAAAAAAACTTCCAAAATGGATCCTTAATATAACCTACCAAGGTTTCACTAGAGCTGCACTTCAATAAAGACCGAAGAAATATTATAATAGTTTTAAAATCGTCTTCCGCGGTAACTTTATACTTAATTTTCTTTAGAATGGGGGCATCCCCAACAGCTCGGAAGCGAATAATTACTAAGGTTTAAAAATAGCAATATAGTAAAATATTCAACAATGGAAGTTACGATAAAATTTAAAATTGTTTTAGATTTTTAACATATTTTTTAAAAAAATAAATTTTATAACCTTTAGTTTGAACCTTTTCCTCCTTTTCAAGGACTATTTCCTCCAGGGAATTAGCGTTTAAACTGTTATTTCGGTTAATAGCGACCGCTCTTAAGTCTTTTGATGACGGTGTTAATAACTGTAAGTGTTGCTCCCGCGCCATGCCTGAAGGTGCGAAATCCATTCACAAGGTGGCATTCACTGTTATAGAATAAGACCAATAAATGAGAACACTAAGCATTCATTAAATATCACTTTTGGCTTTACCTGACATATTGGACAACAGCATTGCTTTAAAATAATTGCTTAACCAATAAAGATATATACTTAAAAGGTTGGTTTTTTTCTTTGTATTGCCTAATTAGATTTTCCAAACCATTAGTGTTTGATCGAATTCCTTGGGTGGAAGAAGAAAAAGGTATGGACAGAGATAAGCAATACTAACAAATGGTGTTTTTTAATAACGAATATTATTCATATATCATTACAAAATAAACTTAAATAAGAACCACCCCATTAAATGCCCAGTTAGATTTTAAGTTGTTTTTTTAATGCTGAGAATACGTGTTAACCCTGGTGTGATTATAAAAATTAAACTTGAAATAAATTAATTTTAAATCTTAACACCTGAGTAAGCTCTAATAGTGCTTGCTTTAAAAAAATCCTATAGCTTTTTTTTTAACTGGCAAATATACCAGCTCTCTGATATTTTGGCGCTTTATCAGTATTGCCCTCCTCCGGTACAAAATGCCCACCAGTATTCTCTAAAAGGAAGTAACCTAGATAAGCTTTAAAAATATATAATATACGGCATATTCTCCGAAGTAAACACGCTTAATTGTCCCGCTTTAGTACTGTTGTGGCATGTTTTCGTTCTTGCAAGCAGCGCTTAACGTTTCGCGTTTTTTTTGGGTTTTATATTATGAACAGTTATTTAATAATAATACACGATAGAGGTTGGGGTCAAAATTTTAGTTACTTGCTTTCAAATTTACATTGTAAAAACGTTTTAAGTTATGCGTTTTTCTTATTATAAGTAACTAGGAACTGAAAAATGAAAATAACAGTACTTTAGAATTGTTCCTTTCTGTAACTTTTACAAAGTCTCTAACTTCGTTTGAGATATTATAAGATAAATCTCACCTAGTTCTATAAAATATATTCCGAAGACTTAATCTACTGAGGGAGACTATTTAGTTTAAAGGGGATTTACACCTCTTGCTAGACCGCATAATCATGTAATTACAACGAAAAATATGCTACTAAAAATGGAAAAAGTAAAAGATCTTCGCATGGAACGAGACGTCTAACGACATTCAGTCAATTAAATTCCATAACAGCGATTGCACTTGTAATTTTAAAACTTATCGCTGCTGAAAAATATAATTTTGCAAGTTAGCCTTTACTAAAGTCAGCAGCCCTTCTAGTACAGCGACTTTAAAGCTGCCCAAAAAAAAAAACAATGTAAAGACATTTAGTTAAAAGTTTTCATTGAAGAATTCAGCCCAGTCAAAGTAATAATGATCTTCTTTGTATAATTATAGTGTTTAATCCAATTTTTCTTTTTAGCGATCGCTTTAGAATTCAACGAGCAGCCACTAAATTGCCTACTATTACAAAAAATTTTATTAATTTACTGCAACCAGCGGTATATGGAAAGTGTAATTGACGCACTAAAGATTTAACAGAGAAAGATGATTGGGTCTAGTTGCGTATTATTAAACCTGTGACTTTTAAGTTAGGGTTATTTATTTGTATACCCTCTATTTTTTAATAAAAAACAACCTTACCATCTTATGATAAGGTAGTTAAATTATGAAGTACCAATGCAATAAGGTATGACGACTGTATTACGTCAAAACGATAAATAAATAAACAAAAAACCTTATTTTGTCCGTTTGCGAGCTCTTTTCATCTTAAGAGGGTGAGTTTAAGTCATTGCAGTAATACAATCAACACGAGAATTGTCTGAACGTAACTTTCGTACAAAAAAAGTAATATAGTCAAACATTATAAAATATAGTACCCTTTGCCTTTAAAATGGCAAAAACTTTAACGCACCAAATCAATTTTTTTTGTACATGTTTTGTAACTGTATACCTCATGAATGCTTCATTTCCTTTTAAAGCGGGCACCGCTTTCTGCGTGACGAAAATTATAGCAGGTTTAAAATCCAACACACTCTTATCCGAGTTCCGCTATCATTTCAAAAATTTATTTATAATGGTACGAGGATTCATGCTTTTTAAAGAAAGAGATATATTTAAATTTTTTAAAGGAGAATAAATTTTCTTGCACCTACACGAATCGAAAACGAGACCTTAAGTTTACGTGTTTATGCTTAAACAATATTCTGCAAAAGAGCTCTTATTTTTAACTGCCAAAATAACTATTAGCCTTTTTAAAGACATAGTTTGAAATTAATATGAACATTATTTATCAAAATAAGGAGGTAGGTAAGGACTCGCCTTAGTAAGTGATGTTCTATTCCCAGTTAAGGAGTTGTATCCTTATAGCCTAGTGGTAGATCCAACGCAAGTGATGTTTTTGCGCTTAGACTTTGTTTCATATTCTTTAATTACATAAGCACAATTCGTATAACAATTTATTAGCATGTTAACTACTCTATGCTGGAAAAAACGTCTAGATGGCAACTAGTTACCTTCCGTTGTATGCCCAGACAGTTTTTTAACTGACAGGCTCCTATACCTAAAACATTATATATACGATTAAGATAGAAGTTAAAAACCCTAAACTAGAAAATTTTAAACGATGCGAACTTATATACATAAACAGTGATAGTCGAGGAAGAGAGCTGTATAATAGCTTTTAAATTTTATCGTAATAGTCAAACTATATATCTGTTACTTGCCACTTCAACCCTCTATACTAAAAAAATATTGGACCTTTCAGGACTTGCTATGCTTTCATACACTAGTGACTTTGGATACATGCTCTTAAACAGCAATAACATTGTTAAACTTTTAAGCCGTAATTAGTTCAAGCTTATAAAAGTTAGTTTATCAGTCTTCTATGCTCTTCATACCTAAAAAATGCGGATAAGCCGTTAGACAAAGTAAAAAAAGCTTAGTAGGTCCTAAAATGCTTTTCATAGTTTTCGCAAACCTGTTTATAAATAATTTTTAATTTTACTTTGTGTACCCAGTGAGAAACTTTAAATTAGCCAGAGGTTAAGGATTTTACTTGGTTTTAAAAGCTAAAAATTTGGGTTTTTTCTTTTTCTGTAGCAAATCTCGTTTAAGAAAAAAACACTTGTTAGCGTAATAAATAGCTTTGATTAGTGGAAAGAAAAAACCTGGAAATTATTGGTGGACCTTCAATTACCATTAAAAGTTTCTCTTAATCTCTTTGCAATTAGCATTGAATGTATATCCTCTCACTTTTGGTTTCGTTACTAAAAAGCCTTTTCAGAAATCGTTGCACAGATTACCTGTAGTTATTAATAAAGCTCTATTACTTAACTAGTTTTTCGTGTTAACATAAGTTAACTAAAATTTGTTAAAATGTTAACTTTAAGCACAGTTTAGTGTATTTATAAGAAAGTTTAACATTTTTGCAATGGTGGGTCCCAATTTTCGGGTTGGCAAAAAAATTGGTGCAGGAAATTTCGGATTTATTCACTTAGGGAAAATTTTATGTACTAATGAAGATGTCGCAATTAAACTTGTACTATTTTCATAGAGAAAGTTTGGTCGTTATCATTTTTGTAAAAAACTATCTTATTTTATATATAGTTCATATTATAATATTGGTGTACTATATTTCATTATTACTACTAGCAATTAATTAATCTTATATAGGAACCAGTCTATGCTCGATCTCCTCAATTACACTTGGAATACCAGTTTTATAAATTACTCCTCGATGATAGCGAGGATCCTCCCACGGGCTTCCCTACTGTACATTATTTTGGTCTTGCCGGAAAATTTAACGCACTTGTACTGGAATTACTTGGTCCTAGTTTAGAAGATTTGTTTGAAGCTTGTCATAGGAAATTTTCTTTAAAAACAGTTTGTTTGATTGCCTATCAATTAGTAACTGTTTTTTACCCAAGATGAAATATATACATAATTTACTCCTCTTTAGCTTACCAGAATTGAACATGTTCATCAGAAACGGATTATTTTTCGTGATACAAAGCCGGAAAATTTTTTAATTGGTAGGAAAGAAAAAGGGATGCAGAATACGATTTATATGATTGACTTTGGCTTGGCCAAAGAATATATAGATGTAGGTTAATTTTTAATACATAACTATGAAAAGTTAAAAAAAAATTGTTTTTTTAGTTTGTTTTATTTATATTTTATTTAATTTACATTTTTTAATCGAATTATAAAAACTTTTTAAACCGCCGAATCTTATTTTTGGTTTTATTTATGACTAGATTAATGGCAAGCACATCCCATATAGAGAACACAAAAGTCTTACGGGGACGGCCAGGTATATGAGCATTAATACTCATTTGGGACGAGAGCAAAGCAGAAGAGATGATCTTGAGGCTTTGGGGCATATGTTTTTGTATTTCCTACGGGGATCTCTCCCCTGGCAGGGACTAAAGGCCGATAACTTGAAAGAAAGATATCAAAAAATTGGTGAAACAAAGCGTAATACTTCCGTTGAAGAACTTTGCGCTGGTTTTCCTTGTAATTAGTAAATTTTACTATAACTTATTTTTAATCTATCATTATAGAAACGTATTTAGATTTTTTAAATTCTTCAATCAGTGTGTATTTCAGAATTTTTATAGCTAAAAACGTAAAATGGTTATTTATAAAGCTTGATGTGAAATAAATTTTCAATGGGATACGTTTGCACTTTTATTAAGTAGTTAGCATTTTTAAAGGTCGTTAATTATTATGTGAAGACACGTATAGACAAAATCATTTGTGGTCAATTGTGCACGATTTATGAGAATAAATGGGTTTTCTAGGCGTAGATTACGAAAATCTTATTACGCTCTTTTATTAAGTACAGTGGGAAATATGTGTATAGGAAGTTCTGCTTTACGTGCATTACAGTAAAGTTGAAACCAATTGATTTCAAAAAAGTCAGTTCATTGAACACCCGTAAAGATTGCCTTTTATTAAGCTTAATCATGTTTTTACTTTTTTATTATATACTTTTTTTTATAAGAAAAATTTACGGGTAACTCCAAAACGTTTTCATTATTACTGTGTTATATTATTGAGGACTTCAGTGCAAAAGAATTTTTAAATTCTAATTCGATAAGGCCAATCAAGTAAAAGCATCTTTTAGAAAATCGTTTAGAATTCTCATTGTTTTGCTGTAATTCTTTAAACTTTTTGGTAGACCTTATATTGTTTTAAGGCGTTTCCACAGTTTCGCGTACTACTTTTTAGCTGCCTATAGACTATGTAATGAACTTTAACACGAAATTTACTTCACTTTGGATTCTTAAGAAATAAGAGAATAACTTATTGTTAGTACTTACCAAATAATTTAACTCTTGTGTTTTTATTATTTCGTGATAATTATTATGATTGAAACCTTAGCGGTAATGACTAGTATATAAACGTTTTATATTTGTCCTATAGTGGAAATTGAAACTTATTTACGATACTCTCGTGAACTGGACTTCTTTGCAACTCCTGATTATGAATATTGTCGAAATTTATTTAAAACTATATGCGATCATAATAATTGGACGTTTGACGATAAATTTGACTGGTCAGATCTTTTAATTTCTTCTATTTCTGCTGATAATGCCACCATTGTTAAGCCGACAACTACTCAGCAAGAAGCACAGGTTTATATATATAAACAAATTGTTCACTCTTTAAAAAAGAAGTATTTCTTGTTTATAGGGGAACATAGGAGGTTTGTACACACGAGTTTATTCCAACTCCAAAGGCCCTAATAGAGACGTTGAAGAACCTGAAGATGCTGTTTATTGTTTCTGTATAAGAAGGAAAAAGAAAAAGAAAAATCATCTGACATAGTTTAACGTTTTTAACTTAAGAGTTGTAGAAGAAATATAAAAATGCGTTTTATGGTTGCTTAAAGCATTAAGCTGGTCTGTAGTCTTTTCTTTCACATAAAACTTAAGTGCTTCTTATTTGCTAATACTCTTAAAGTTACGTAGTAATAAAGTTAATAGAAACTATTTTTTATCTACCGCCTAGCCCAATTAAGCGCTTATCAAACGATAGGAACCCTTCAACTTTTTTAAAATAACAATTGCCTTGTGTACTTATTAGAAACAGAGATACTATGCCATAGTAAGATACCTGGATTCAATAAATTTGGAGGTGAAAAAAGTCGCGTAAATAGTGTAACCCAGCTTCCTCATGCTTATGTATAGTGAGCAACGCCATAGAGGAGTGACTTTTTTATTGTTAACTTCCGTTACCGTATTAATGGTATCGTGTTTTAATTACATCACTCGGTACTGCCATGAAGCTAACAATTGCATTATTACCTTACTAGCACAATAGTTCTTCACTTACATAAAACAGTTGTGATGCCATCTTAAAGGTGTTTTTTTACGCTAATAGTCTTTAAATTTAGAGCTTCAACAATTTCTTTGTTAAACTCCTTGCCTTTCAATTCAAACTTATTACGCTTATTTTGTTATTTTGTTATTTTACCGGATCGCTTAGCTTAAAAAAAAGTTTAAATATCTTGAAGCCGTCAAGGATTTTCAGCTTTATTTATTTCTTTCCATTTGCTAAACCTCATATACCTTTTTGAAAACTATTTTATTCAATTCTTAGTTTGTTGCTAATTAAAGTTGTGCAGAGTTTCTCTGAGCTTACCACTTGTTATGCTCTTTTTTCTGGTTTCATACATACCCCTGAAGCTTTATTCTTTAGCTGCGTGCTTCAAGTGCGCATGTGTATATAAATCTGTATTTTTAATCTTGGTATAATAATCATACTGAGGGAATACAAGGCGCAATAAAATTACGAAGCAGAGAAAGGTTAACCTGTATTTGAATTGTTGGGGTACAGTAAGCGTACTGCCTTTGGCCATGTGAATTGCATTTTGAATAGCCAGAGGAAGGGAGGCATTCAACAACTAGGTAACCTAGCTTAATAGCTTTGGAGTGTCTAAAAAGTGTGCTTTTCCAACTTATAACTCAACGATATAATACGATTAAAGAAGAACAAACTTTGAGCGAGACCAACCCAAGGTTTGCATAGGGGAAGGGCGTGTACAAGCGTTAAAAAATATTTTGAAATTAGATACTAAATATGATATACCTTTTTACAATTTTTAAACTATTAGGGCCCTTCACTGCGCATATTACCCAGCCGCTTAACGGCCTAAAATAAAAAAAATAATATTTGTACGGAATTGACAGCAAGATCATGAGTCAACGCCAAAGTTGTGCGTGAACCCTCGGTGGGTGGCCTCTCAAGAGGTAAGAACTTGGTAATTTAAATACCTACACGGGATGAGCCTTCGGTACTACTTGGAGGGTTTTTCATAATTTTAAAATGGTGTTGCCGAGCTTGCGAAGCTAAGTAGCTAAATGGTACGCCCTTTTGCGCGAAAAAAAAAAGTTCTTGAAATTGTGTTGATATTGATTATAAATGCTAGCGATATAGGACTATAGTTGCCTTAGAAAATTTACAGATCGTTTGAATTTTATTGCAGTGGTGTGTACTAAGTCAACTAACCTTAAGGAAAGTACAGCGTGGCAATTAAGTGAAGTCCAGTGGGCTTGATTTGTAAGTATTTAATGTCGCGAATTAATCTTCTATTTCTTGTAGGTCGCTCGCGGTTGTTTGGTAGCGAGCGTAAGAAGGTTGTCTAATATATATTAATAGTTGTAAACTAGCTGACTCTGTGCTTAATAATTTTCAGATTATTACTTAATAGTTACTAAACACTATTGTTAACAAAGCAAACAGATCCACCTATAAGTTAATAAACTCTATACAGTTTAGCATTAGAAACTTGAAGCCGCAATAGATCAGAAAGCCTTCTTGAGGCAATAAATAAAGGAAAAGCGTTGGCATCGTGAGAGGAAATTGATTTAATATGTTAAGCATATTTCATATAGAATAACTCGTCGCCTGAAAACTCCTGAGATTAACACACGACCCTCTCTAAAAAAGAATTCATACTAATCTCAGTAACAACCTTCAAATGATATGTCAAAATTTTATGACATTTGGTTCCTTAGTTCTCGAAATAGTGGAATTTTGGTGTCGTTTGTGTTGATAAAGCACTGTTTTTTAAGTGGAAAAATAAACCGTTCAAGCTCTGCAGTGACTCGAAAAGTGTTATATGGAATCTGCTTCGTCGAAGACAACGATTTGTGGGTGGTTTGTAAGTTTAAACGGGGTCACTTAAAAACAAATGATGCTGAACCCTCTGGACGACATTGAGACAGTTACCTTAGAAAACATCAAAAAATGTCCACAAAGTTGTCGTGGTATTGATCGATAAGAGAAACTGCGTGAGTAAGCCGACATGGCAAGGATATTACTGGAACCTGTAGGCTATATTTTGCACGAACATTTGGGTATAAGGAAAAACGTTATCCGAAACGATTACCGCATAGCCCACAATGAACCAAAAACAAGGACGAGTTGATGATGGTTCGGAACGCTGTTTGGAGCTGTTTAAGCGAAAAAAAAGGATTTTCTACTGCGATATGTAGGAACGAATGAAACCTGGATTAATCAATACACTACAGAGTCAAACCGGCATTCAGTTGAGTGAAAAGCCGTCATGGCAACCAAAGGCGCAATAGATAGCCAGAAATTAAAGGTCCTGGTATTTTGCGATGCGCAGGGTGTAATAATCGACTGCATTGAAAGGGAAAAACCATGAATAAAACTAATATTCTATAACACCATTCTTTGATTAAAGAAGGAATTACAAAATACGGCCTTAATTAGCGAAAAAAAAGTGCACTCCTATCAAAACAAAGCACCAAGTCACAAGTCTTTGGTTACGAGTGGGAAAATTGCAATACTGAAGTACGTTATAATTCCATACTCTCCAGATCTGACGGCATTTGTCTCTTTGCAGTTTTAAAAAACGCTCTAGGAAAAGTCAAAGAAGTAGTCATTGCCGAAACAAAGACCTATCTTTGAAGGGAAGGACAGAACTATTCTATAAAATGTAGAACTCTTGGGGAAGCGTTGACTGATTGTATCGCTCTTGAAGGAAAACTATTTTAAATAACAGAAGTTAAAATTTGCAAAAAAAAAAAAGTCGTTTACTTAGTTTCGGGGCTTTTTGTGCGACGTGTTACCTGAAGAACAACACAATTAATATTTTTTCAATTTTGTTGTTACTCCTCGTTACCCCTCCTTAGGCATTAGTTTATTAAATACATTATAAGAAAGCCAAGAAGTATTAATATTGATTTGATTCGAGCTCCTCCTGTAAGGTATTATATGCAAATTCCCGCCAGCTGTAGGGTTTCCCTTTTTTAGACAAAATTTATGACAAATTTAAGTCCTAAAGGGAATAACAATTTTTTAAAATCGTTTAGTAACACAAAAACAAGGTAAAAAAATTGGTTCGGAGAGAGTGCATCAACTTGTAAGTATAATGGAAGGTTTATAAGAAAACAGTTAGCCAAGTAAAAACGTGTGAATTGGTCTGAGCTGGAGTAATAAAAAATGCTCAGCTCTCTAAAGCACTACGCAAAAATTTTAGTACTTGACAAGCCCTTAAATAGATTAAGGTGTTAAATATTAACAAAAATGTTTATAACAATTATTTTTCAGTTATCAAAGTTAGCTAAACTAGAATCGCCGTTTTTATAGCTAATCGTTACTACTCACCCCTTCAATAGCGGCGGCACTCTCAAAAGTAGCAAGTTTCTTGGGTGTACCGAGGGCAAGAAAGGGTAGAATAGCTAGGAGGATGTCAGTAAAAAAGTATATTTACAGGCTCCATCTCCATAGCTTTACGTAATAAAAAGCTTTATACACGGCTTTATGCACAGCACATCAAGTCTTCTTTTACAAAGTTTACAAAGTCAGTTTCTTTGTTTAACACTAACGTGTTAAATTCATGACGAAGAAAAAGAGGAGGAGCGATCAGCCTGACGCGTCTCAGAGGAAGGGTATTTATACCTTTAGAGAGGAAATATAAAATGTATAAAATGTGGAACAGACGTGGAAGCACATGGTACGACACGTGTTTCCTAATCAGATGTACACGTGGTAAGGGCAAGTGGTGTAATAAACACATGGAATTTATACCACGTCGTATAAGTACGTGATTTATCAGAGTTAACCAACTATTTGTATACATATTTGTGAATTAACAATTTTTGTTTAATTACTTTCTTTATATTTGCCTTCTTAACGACCGTAATGCGTTCTACTTTGGCGAATACTCAACAACATGCATCTGTATCTGTTAACTGCAAATACAGCTTCCAAAAAGGAATTAAAAATGTTAAATGCAAAATCTAATCAAATGAAAAATAAACAAAATCTGAAACACTGAAAAAGCGCAAGGACCTCGAGCTTTTATCATTTTTCAAAAAATTTCGCTTTGGACATTAAAATATATTGGAATACTTGAAGAAACCTCGAGTAGCGGTAATAGTATTCATAATGATAACTTCATGTTTGCAGAGTAAAGCGCAAACCCCTAAAAGCGGGCGACCACGGCTAGTACTCCGCAAGTACATAACGTACCGCCTTAACAAAAGCGACGTAGGCGAAGCTTTTCTGTGGCGTTAGCCACGTGCGTTCATTAATTAGCATGCCAAGGATATAAATAGAGATAGCACGCCCCCGTGGAAGGGGATTTACTGCTCTTTGTTTCATGCGTGGAACGTAATGCGGTGTAGAGGGGCAGCTTAATTACCGTAATATATATATATATTATCTGTCTAATAAATTTATTTATACATCTATTTCTACCTTGGGTATAAATATATCTATGCTTTTATAGTCACTACCCGCGATAGTGCCATTCTAGGAATTACAGTGGTGCAATACTCACCACCTACCCAAATGCTTTTTAAAACCTAGAGGGCTTGAAGGGTCATAGATGTACGTGACTAACCATTGTGATATCATCTACAAGCTCCGATTGACTGGTGCTTACAAGTGGTGATATTTAAGCTGCTTTATTGCGGCTTGTCCGCCGTTCTCTTAGGAATTGCAACGCTACTTGACATAGTCGGGTTAAAAATTACAAAGAAAATGACTGAGAAGCACACAGATCAACACAATCTTCGCGTGCTGGCGCCTCAAGGTCCGACGCACATGGTCAAAATAAGAACTTTGTAAGTTTTCCACATGGCCGTTTTAAAAGATATCTATTAGTCGGTATTGATCGCCGACAGGGACGGTCTTTTTCCAAAGTAAGGCGAAATCCTGAGCACGGCATTCACGAACTGGAGAAAATTTTTAGCTGCGGTTGAGGCATCGCCATCCTTCAGCCCGACTCCTCCAATTCCCTCCTTATCAGAAGGAGCAATTAATATTTTTGTAAACTTACTGTGGCCGCCCATACTACTGCCACAACCAACCATGAAATTACGTAGCGCCCTGGCCATCTACCAGATTTTTAAGTGAACTTTATTTCTTAACACCGATTAGTACACCAAACCTCTGCTACACAAAACTCCGTAACGACAAAATAATGTCAAACCTTCTTTACAGGCAGATTGGTAAAGAGCAGAACCGCGGTCTGTAAGGCATGTCTGTAGCGGTCAACAAAGGACGGCCATCTTTTTGGGGTTATTGTCAAAACAAATTAGAGACGCTGTCAGACGTGACCTCCGCCACTTAAAAATGTGGTGAGTGCGTTTAAAAACGACAAAGATAAGCGGTGGTGCCTATTGCCTACCATAAAGCTTCTCAGTGCATGAATTCAACTTGGATTACCTTAAGGATTAAAGGCAAGACCGCAAGACCCCTCAACCATTGGCAGTGCACTTATTAAATCTATTTCTTTTAGGCGTGTTAAAGGGCATCAAATTTCTAGTGTACTCAAACCTATAAATTTACCCTGATAGGTGCACGCTTTTAATGGCTCCGTGGTGCGCTTTAAACACACCCGCTGTTTGTAAAACTCTACACAAATTTACCTCTATGTATATAAGTGTGATATGACTTAAAAAAATTACATGCGTACTACGGAAAATAATGTGATTAGCAAAGCTATGCAGTTTGCTCTCGATTTCCCGAGTGTCTGCATAAATCTATAACAGTTAATGTAAAGTTGTAACCTTATTAATCTTTTGCAAGCACTAAAAAAAGAGTGGGCGATATAACTTAAAAGTTAGATAAAAAAAGCTCGTTAAAGATAATCATAGAAAAACACGACAGTTAAAAAATATCTTCAATAGGCTAGGCTAGGCTACTGGCACTGTTTGTAAAAACATCAAACGTTTGGCGTATAACACTTTAAGTAGGGTATTGATAAAAATAGCTAACCTCTAGTAGTACTTTAATGCCTGCGTTACTAAGAAATAAAAAAACAAGTTTTATTTATTACTAGTGGTGTAATACTCACTAACTAGGCCTTCGCACCATCAAATAAAGAAGTTTTTGGACTTTGTTATATTATATAGTTAATATAGTAAGCACTAACTCTGCATAAAAAACCTTAAAAACCGTTGGAGATATATAAATTTCTTACTGAAATCTACACCACTAACTATATAAAGACTGCAAGTCTTTTTTGATAAAACAACTTAATTGAGCTCATAAACTTACAGGTAGAAACTAATAAAAACGAAATAATATAGATTAATAATAGTTTTAAAAAGTGCTATCAAAAGAAAGCTTTGCTTCATCTTGTCTTACGTTATTAACTAGGTTAAAATTTATGTTGTAAAAAATTTCGGTTAAAAAGGTAATTAAAATAAACATATTCATGTTATTAGCCAAAGATTTCTACGCTATTACTTAATAATACAGACATATTATTTTAATTTAAAGTAATAAAGTTATTAGTTAGAACTCGCAACAGTAAACTACTAACCATAAAGTAGTTAAAACTTGTTTACTCATCACTAAATATTATTACGGTAGCTTGCAGTTTATTTGACCCGAAATATATTGGTAATGCCATTTAAGGGTTAATTTTTAGTTAGTTGCTTGTTATGTGAGAGAGTATAAATAAACCGCTTTTGCCTGTAGCAGCCTTGCCTTTTCTCTTTCTCTTGGTTTCTCTCCTTCGATAGATGAACGACCTGTTAAACCTTGCCCCTGGTTCCTACTGCATTTATTAGTTCCGTCGTTTTTTGTTTAACGTTTTTTTGCAGATCCTTTCGCGTCTGAAACTGCACATGAGGAGAAAATTATCGATACTGGTTTAATACACATACGGGTCATACAAAGGCAAGGTCGCAAGAAAACTACTTTAATTCAAGGTGTACCTTCAGAATTTGACATAAAAAAAATTACTAAGGTCTAAAGGATACAAAACAATATATATAGTATCTATAGCTTTTTTTTACCATTTTTTTTAGTCCCTTAAAAAGGAACTTGCTTGTAACGGATCCGTTTCTGAGCATAAAGAGTATGGAGAGGTTATATCACTCCAGGGAGATCACAGACAAGACATTTACCAATTCTTAATCAAGTATAACTTAGCAAGAAAAGAGAATATTAAGATTCATGGTTTTTGAAGTTTACTAACTTCAGAAAACCCGAAATTGTTAATTTTTTGACATCTTGTTTTTGAGTAATTGGACTACTTGCATTTTTTGTTGTCTACTAATTGGAGTTTTTAAAGTTTATTTTGTTGGAAGGTATAATGATTCTATATACGAGATGTTCACATGTAGTAATATTAAAGGCAATAAATTTTATTTACAGTATAATACAATTTTTTGCTTGCCTTGCAGAGTTGACTTTTCATTTGTTTATAAGTATTTAATACTGAAGTTACATGTAACTAAGTTTTGGTGAGGTACAGTGGTAGAGTGTAGCACAGCGTTTTTAGAAGTTTATATTACCATTATTTAAGGTTTAATTTAATTCATTTTACTAAAACTTTAAGCTCGTGAGCGTTTTACACAAAAGAGTAAGGCTTATTAGCTTCAAGGATAGTAAAACCACGTGGTCTGCACAATTTAAAACAGCGTTTGTGCCTTTCCTGGGCTAAGTAAAAGATGAATATTTATATAAAAAAGCGTTGAGTTAGCTCAAATATGATCAGTCTTCTACGTGTGCACCTTTAAAAATTAGTTAAAAACTTGGTAACGCGATACGAAATTATATTTATTAATTTACATTAATAAGCAGTTTTTACCGTTTTGAGGACCTTGCTTTAATTATTTGCGACAAAATATTGCACACTTATGGTGCAAAATTTTTAATTTTGCCGGTTCGCGTTGAAAATGAGAGTCCATCCAGGAGCCATGTTATACCACAGCTTTAAGTTTTTGGCGTAGTTTTTTTTTGTACGTTTGCAATAATATAATTTAGATCCAGTAAAACTGTTGCTGTAATTTTACTTGACTTCCCTTTAGCATATAAGCAGCTTATTAAGTAATAGTTAATAGTAAAAGATAAACTATCGTTCAAAATTATTTCTGCTTTAAATTTTTTTGTAAAAATTCTATAACGCTCTGATAATTAATTAGTTATTTTGATCCCTTAAGTGTGTATTAGTTTAAATTAAGATCTATTTAATGTATTGGGTATTTGAGGAATTGCTTTCTTATTTAAGTTTTAAGTCTTTATCGCTTTTTAAATTTTAAGTATCCATTGAAACGATTTTGCACGTGACCCCCCTTCGTGCAAAAGTTTCAATCTTTATACGAAATTTTCACGATCACTCCGTCAAAGGGGTTTTTTTTAATGCATTTGGGTGACTATAAAGGATAGCTAATTTAGAGAACTTATTTTATTAATGCGTAAACTTTCAATCGATAAAGAAAAAGATGTAAAATACTTTTTAGAAGTAGGCAAGCCTTACACTGGGCTCGCCCGTGGATATGGTGTCAGTAAAGATCTTCAAGACTGGGATGTAGCTCGGCGCGTAAGACAAGGGGCATTGGGCGCAATTGAATCCGCACAGAAAGCATCAAAAATCATAGAAACAACATTAGATAGACCAGTTTCAAGAGCGACCGTATCGAGAGCAGTGCATTCTTCTGGTTTCAATGCGAAGAAAAAGTTAATTTAATCCATTCTGACAGACATTCACAAGCGACTAAAATTTGAGTTTGTGAGGAAGCACAAAAGTTGGTTCATTTCTGATTGGGAAAAAAATAATTTTTTCGGACGAGACTAAGATCAATTGATATGGTTCAGGTGGTGGTGTTGGAAGCGATCTGGCGATAATTAAACATTTGATCACCAGGTGGTGCAAATGTGTAAACATGGGGGAGGATCGATTAAGATTTGGTCCTATATAACATCTAAGTGGGTCAGATATTTGGAAAAAGTGACAGAACATTACCGCAAGCAAGTATTAAACATTATTAAGAATGACCTACCCAGTGCTTGCGATTGGTATGGCCTTGGCTTAGCTGAAATGATTTTTCAGCAGGATAATGCGCCATGTCACACTGCACTATCATTGCGATCAGGACCTCCAATTATAGTCGTTCCAAGTGCTAGACTGACCCCACAATCTTCTGACTTCAGTACCATTGAGCATGCATGGGAACCTTGAAGAGAAAATTGGGGATCATGAGAATCAGCTCCTGCTAACTTGGACGAGCATTGGACATGTGCTTAATCAGAATGGGAAAATTTAACACCGGATCAGTGCTACAATCTGTTTGCTCCAACGGTGTCATGAGCCCGAGGACAAGAAATACGATCTAGGAAGTAAAATATTTCCGGCAACAACTCAAGAATACCGTGCGATCACCGCGATAATGGGCAAGCAAGAGTCACAACATTTTACCTATCAATTACCTGAAGACAAGCCGCACAAATTTGTTATGTGTGGTATTTATTGCGAACTCGATATATCCCTCGTCGAGGCGAATCTGGGCGCGCAGGGCATCACACAACGAGTGCCACGAATGCACACAGAGAACACTGTCAATAGCGAGCGGAGAAAGAGTCCGTTACCATTAGTGCTGGTGCATATACCCAGAACGAAGCGACAAAAGCTTTTAGAGATGAAGACTATTTCCCATCTTCGGATCAAAATAGAAGAACTTCGATAAAGCATTCGCGTTGGCCAGTGCCGCCGCTGCCAACCCTTTGACCATGCTGCAAGCTTTTGCGTTGCGGTACCTCGCCCGTTAAAATGCGAGGAAGGTCATTTGACCGCAGAGTGTACCAATTCACGAGTCTCCCCTGCTAAATGTGCGGATTGTGGCCAGACACATACCGCTAATTATCAAGGTTGTAAATATTGTCCACGTAAGCCAGCTAGCCACCCCCAAAGTTTACTTCGTCAGTGCCAACTGTTATCCCGGGAGTCTCTTACGCGTCTCGTTTGAGGACAAAAATTTCAAGATGTACCCAAGATCTCGTTAGGTTCTAAAGCCCCTGGCCTCTCTTCTACTGCGAAAGCTGAACAGTCGCGGCCGACATACAGAAGAATTTAGTAATTTTAATGACAAATTTATTTAGCATGCTTGAAACTGTGAAAGGACTGGGGTCTGTTTGCAATGGTTTCTAAGTCAAAGACGCGCCGCCACATTACTCCTATTCTGGAATGCGGAGTGTGTTCAGAGTAGGAAGCTCGAGCTTCAGGAGCTGTTACTACGAGAAAGAATTGATGTGTGCGCCATAAACGGGACGAACCGCCAAGTCTGAATTGATGCACGCGGGGGGGGGGGGGCGTGGCTATAATGATGAAACAGTTTATTCGACATCATTCGTTATCTATGCCAGCTCTACAAGGCGAGGCCCTCTATATGACTGACCAGGGGCCTGTGTCTGTAATCGCTGTCTACAAATCCCCTTGGAAGCTACTTCGGCCCTCCGATTTAAAGGCCATCCTTGGGAGTACCTCTTCTTCTGTTTTGTGCGAGAATCTAAATTTCAAGCCCCCTACCGGGAAAACCGAGCCGATAACACGAATGGCCTCATCCTTGAGGCCTATGCTGATGAGCACGGGCTGTGCCTGCTAGGTCCCCAGCAACCAACACACACTTGAGAAATACAGGCAAAATGCCCTACTAAAAGATACAATTCTTTACAGTAATTGAAGCGCTCCACGAGCTGTCCTCCGATCATCTCCTAGTTATTCTCAATTTAGGGGATAAGGACACACCAAAGGCCATAACCCGAATTTTTACCGACTGGGACAAGTATGCTGGTGTATCAGAAGCTACGCTGCCGCCGTTTCCGTCATTATCGTCCAGCACGCCCTGCTGACGCTGTTGTCCTTTTCGAAACCCGCACTGCGCATGACTCACACTACTGCCACGACAACTTGTGAAGTAACGTACCGCCTCGACCGCTGTCTGACAAACTTGCGCTTAATCGACTTCACCGATGCGTTGAAAAAAGCTAATGACCCATTTCATCAATTAGTGGGAGAGCAAACTGCATCGTATATCAGAATTAGGCAGCAGCGACCGATCCTCCTTTAGTAAATTTGTCAAAAGGATCAAAAATTAGGGGCTTTCACCGCTCCTCCCGCACCTTCGTGGAGGAAATATAGTGGCCGAGAGTGATGGAGCTTAAGCTACGCTTTTCGCCAATGTTCGTGCTATCCAAAATGTGCCAGCTGCTCACTATACTGCTAATGATGCCTTCCCTCAGCTGAGCTTACCCCCAACCGTTAACAACGAACCTATTGACCTAGTTAATGTTGACGAGGCGCAATCAGTTGTCGAAGGGCTACCTAAACGAAAAGCGCCTGGTCCCGACGGCATCACTAATAAGATGCTGAAGAAAATGCCATTAATAGGGATGCACTATCTTCACCTCCTTATAAAATCTTCGATGCTCCTGGGCGTCTTTCCGGTTCGATAGAAGACGGCGATCCTTGTGAGACTACCAAAAACACCTAAACCGAAATCAGCATCTAGCAGTTACCGACCATCAGGCCTAGTGTCAGCAACTGGCAAAGTGGGGTGAGACCGTTTTAAAGGATCGTGGACGCTCGGAAAGCCTTACCGAAATTTTTTTTTTAGTTTGGATTTCGGCAAGGGCATTTAACGACCCAGCAGCTCCTCTGCTTCACTGAATGGACCACTTGCGCTTTTAACCATAAGAAGTCAACAGGCGCTGTCTTCCTTGACGTTGAAAAAGCATTTGACCAAGTTTGGCGTAGAGGTCTGCTTGCACAAATTGCGCTCGTTGTCCCACTCTCATGACCTTTAAAACGTGCTGAAATCATATCTGAATGGTCGCGTCTTCAGCGTGCGCATGGAAGATACCCGGTGGCCGCATCGATCTCTGCCAGCAGGGGTCCCCTCAAGGGTTACTTCTCTCTCCCCTTTTATTTGCAATTTACATGAGCGACGTACCCTTGCCGTCCGACCCACACACACGAATCGCCCTCTACGCTGATGATACGGCCGTATATTTCTCATCGAAGTCACCCGCCTCGCTATGCAAGCATCTACAGCGCTATCTTGAGGCCCTTGCCTGTCTGGTGCAGTGATGAAATTGGTACTATAAATGCGAAGAAGAGCAAAGCAAGCTATACTAACTTCAAAGAAACGAGCTCCTTTGTTAGTGGCCTTGTTAACCTTTAATAGCGTGAAGATTCCGTGGTGTTCTCAAGCGAAATACTTGGGAGTCCTCAACAACAAATATTCCTTGTTGCCTTACGTGAAATTTGTAGTGGCGACGATCAAGGCAGCAACCAAGGCGCCTTATTCTTTACTTGAGGCAAGGTTTAGCTTTCTCTGCGAAACAAACGGCGATTGTATTTGTCTCACATCCAGCCAATAATGACATTTGTCTGCTGCTTGGACCTAGACTTCATCGCGATAGTGTTGGCACTTCAAGTGCGACAGAACAATTGCTGCGTGTTCTCACAAAGGCGCCATCGTTTGTGCGAAATGATGCGCTTTACAGGGACCTTTAGACAGACCATTTAGACATTGTCTTCCAACGCCAAGCCGTGGTCCTTTACGACGGGCTCATCAGGCACGCTAATCGCCTGCTGGTGAGCGAAGTTATTAACGAATCATGAGACGGGGCACGGTTATCATCTCCCAAGCGCTAGTTTTTTTTGTTATTAATGTAAAAAATTAATGACACCCTGAATGCTATTTGTAATAGATATGTAATCACCTGATTGGGAGCCCGAGTATTCGAAGTTTTTAACTCGATCGAGCACCAGGAACTCTTAATAAATAAATCAGGCACTCATGTGTTTCCGGGAAAAGGGGGCTGTGCTAATTATTAAAATTTCGTTTATTAAATTAAATTTTTTCTACGAGCACAATTGTTTCTATAATCTTTTAACTTTACATGCTCATATCTTTTCGAATACTAAACCAATTTAAGATCAATTATTAACAATATGTAGCTAGTACAAAGAAGTTTACTGTCTATTAAATAATCCATCACGTCGTAGAAAAGTTATTCTATATTAAATGAAAAATGCAAAACATTCTAACAGTTTTGCACGATAGTACATAACGTTTATGATTAATAATTGATGCAACGCCTATAGTTGTAAAGAGCATGGGTTGGAATTTTAATACTTTAAATAAGGTGTACTAAGAAAACAAACTGGAAAGGTACTAACATGGGGAACGGAATAGCGGTAAGGCTACCTACATACCATATTAAGGTTATCAACTGTTGTGGAAATAATTAACTCTAAATCTATCATAATTTTTGTATTTAGAAAGTTTATACTGAGGAAGTGAACTCTACATAAGTTCTTGTTTTCTGAACTTCAGAATAGCAAATTTGAGAATTAAAGATTGAATTTTGTCAATAAAACGTCAAAAGTCTTTAAAAAAGTAGTTTAGATAGTTAAACATTTTAAGCCCATATAAAATATATATGTTGAGGACAACATTTAGTCAGTGAGTATGAAGTGATTATTAGATTTAAATTTTTAATAGTTATACTTTTAAACACATGCTAAGGTTTCCCCTAAGTATTAACGATAGTCTGTAACAAAATATTAATAACTTATGCGGTTAATTCTTACTAAATTCTAAACTCGGCTTACGGGTTATACGCATAAATAGGAAAATTTTTCTGCGTAAAAAATTTATTTTGACTGTAAATCATTTTAAACCGTTAAAAAAATTGTTTAATATATTCATAACAGTGAATTCTAAAAATTTTTCCAAGCAAGCTCAATACCAGATCTTATTGTAGTCATTAAAACAAACATAATTTCCTACTTTAAGAGCACTTCAAAAATAAACAATTATACCTCTACATTAGAAGGAAACAGTAACAGACTTAAAATATAAATCTTCAATCAGCTAATAGTTTGTACAACCTATTATTCAAAAGTTTAAGCAGTTGAGCTACTAAGTCGAGACTTGAAATTTGTTAGTACATAAAAAAGAAAATATGGTTTTTAAAAGAAAAGTTAACCTCTTAGTTGTATAAAGAAGAAAGTACTCGACTTGAAGGTGTCTATAAAACGTACTACAAACTAGAGCTTGCCAGAACTGCCAAAGAAAAATTTATATTTAGTTTAATATTCTTGTGTGTAGGATTATAATATTAGCTTATCAGTTTTTCATAAAGTAATGTGTCTACCTTGTTTATGGATTAAAGTGAAAAAACCAGCTAGAAGTTTCTTTTTACATACAATAAACAGGTTGCCAAGTGTAACGGGGTGTAACTGTACTATTAAAGCTTTTTGTATTTTATTTCGGTGTACATTTTCTTAGTTTTTAAACTTTTTTTTTGTAGAAGAACTATTATACTACAGAAGAGATATCAATTTACAAATTACACTTACTTTTCGTTACAAAAAGTACTATAATTTTTAAATTTAAAGAGGTTCAATTTTTTTTGTAGGATAGATATCTTTAGCTTTTAAGTAATTTCTTTGTTTGTTCGAAGGTCTATTACGGCTCAGCCAATTGCTTTTGTAATTGTCAGTCAGGGTTTCCTGAGATACTTACCTGCTTACGCTTTTTTTTGGTAGTTGCGGTCAATATATATATGTTAAGGCAGAATTTGTTTAATATTATTTAAAATAATGTGGGAAAAACTTCGCATAAGATTTCAACGTTTTGGGCGGAGGAATAAACCTTTTTATAGGATAGGTTTTTTCTTAATGGTATCGTTTACTATTTTTATTCTAATATAAACTATTATTTGTTCGCTACAGTGGCCGCAAAAAATGTTTACAAAAGGGACGGTAAGTTTATTGAAATTCTTGGAAAGTTTGACCCTATGTTAGATAAAAATAATACAAGAAGTAATTTTTATTTTTAAATGGTTGTTTCAAATATATTATTATTGATAAACAACTTTAAAATCTCTCTCCATAAAACTTTAAAAGGTGCACTTTTTAATATTGAAAGAATAAAGTTTTGGCTTGCTTTAGGAGCTGAACCCACGGATCCTGTTGCTAAGCTCCTTGCCAAGGTATGCGCTACTTTAATTAAGCCTGCTTCTTTAACTTACATTATTATAATAATTACCGTTGATTATATTTTTATAACATACAGAGTGTTATGTATCTTAATATTAAATTCTTTGTTGTTAAGGTCTATTATATTTTTTTCTTTCTGGGTAATATTACAAGTTTTTTTAAAATTTTTTCATATTTTTATAATAAAATGTCAAACATATTTATTTAAAAAAGCATATTTTTAATTATTTTAAAAAATTGTAACCCAGAGTCAAGTATATTATTATCAGAATAATTGTTAGGATATCCTCGGAAATATTTTTTCATTGTTTTAGATTAAGAAAAAACTCAGAGTTTGAAAATGTAATTTACTTTCAACAAATATTTTTAATTATTCTTATTATAATAAATAGGTTGGGTTACTACCACCTTTTTATAAACAAGTTGCTTTAAGAAGATTAGGCCTTCGAGTTGTTGAATATGAAGAAAAGTACGCGCAGTATCAGGCCGAACTAAAAGAATGGGAGGAAAAATTTAGTAATCTCAAGTCAAACGAAGAAGCCAACAAGAGTGAACTAATATAAAAGCTTTAATAAGAAATATTTTAGAAGTTGCTTAAAGTATTAATTTTTCTTGAATATCTCTCTAAGGCGTAGTTCTACTAAAAATGTAAATAGACTACTTTAAGTAGGCACACGTTTTTCTATCTCCTCTGGTTACGCTAAAAGATATTATACTTATTATTAATTGAGTTTTTGTTAATTATAAATTCTTACGAAATAATAAGAAAATCTCTTAAACAGACCCTTATACCTCATTTTCCTTTTTTATTATGTTACCGTGTAAATCGCTTTCTAGTTTAGGGCTATATAAAGGGTTCTAATTACTTGACAGACAGTTCGATTTTTGACCAAAAATTATTTTTATAAATACAAAAAAGTTTAGCACGCTTTGCATTTTTACTTCTTAAAAGAAAATTTTATACATGACTTTCGCAGTGCAGTAAGGCAAGCGCAGGCTGCTTAGCCTAAATTTAGACGTCCCTCCAGCTCCCGAGGGATGAAGGGATATCGGAAACGAATCGGTTCAAACTCCCGCCAATTGGCCTGAGATGGTCAAATACCGTTTTAATACCACCGCCAGGAGAAGGAAAGCCTGGCTTCCTTTACTATATTTATAATTTTTAAAAAAAAAAATTACAAGTAGTTAAAGTTATAAAATGTTTAATAATATTCCTTTAAATACTAACTAAGCTAACTAAGAAAACACGTAAAAATACATTCTCTTAGTGTATTTATAACAATATAAATGCGAGTACAACTTCGGAATATTCAAAAAAAAAATTGAAAGGAGAAAGCCTCTTTATCGCCCCTCTTAACGAGAATGAGTGCACTACCCAAGCAAAAATGAACGCTTGTCTTCACCTTGCACTCGGCATTGAATGACACTTCGTACTGTGGAATTTTCATCCTTCGAATTGCGCAACCCTTTAAAACTCGCCAGACTGACGAAAACTCTATTGGGAGGCCATTACAGCTAGTGCTTGTGCGCTTGCTGGAGAGTGAAGGGCCTGCTGTCTGTGCATTGCAACCATGTTATTCGTAAATAAGAATTTATTATTACAAAATAATCTCTGTATGGGTCCACAATACTTTGCTCTTAGCAAGCAGGATTGTATTATTGCTCCACTCTGTCTCAAACGCATGGAAGACAATTTAGTGATAAAGTGTCAGCAGTCTCAAGTGTTGCGCACCTAGACCACTAATTGTGGGGAGGTCCGTGCTGTCAGCTATTGCATATGTACAATATTTCACAAATATATTTTTTCCACATCAGCAAGTCAACGAGCGAAATCAGTGACGGGACAGACGTTTTCTCAAGAACTCTTTCGACGACCAAGACAGCAGCAGCTAAGAACCATTACTCCGCTACAAGTACGAGAGATACTGACTTTACTGGCAGCTTGTCTAAAAAAACTCTTCATTATGGGTACCCAAGCGACCGCTAAAGATTGTTAAAACCAATAAAACGACGTTGGTGTACGCTACAAGAAAGGCGAGCTGCTGGAATTAATGCAGCGTAAAGATGTCAATGTCGTTTCTGTTAAAAAGTGTAGACCCTAAAAGCGGAGGCTTTGCCTTTTTGATTCTGTACAACCTACCGCGCTATTTGATAGCTCTTCTACTACAGTCGAGACGAATACCCGATAATAAACGTCCACGGGGTAGTACTTTTCTTTTGGTCGTCTTACTTTAACTGGTTCGTGAAGACAATAAGCTCTCTCGCGATTATTAAAGCTTAATTATAATACTACTAGTGGCCGGACATTAAAGCTTAGCTCTAGTGACCAAGTTTTTATGTATGCCCAAAATTTTTTATTACTCATTCATGTCGTTAAATTGGTAGTATCATCCTGGAACTTAACGTTATACTTTAAAAAATAATAAAACAAGTGTTCAAGTTCAACTTATATCAAATTAAATAAACATAATAAGTTTTATAAGGTAATATCGTTAGTTACTTTATGTCAAACTAGTAATATGTAGGAAGTTCATTTCGTTAACTTGATAATTTATTTATTGAGCAAATTTTTGATAGATTGCTAATTCAGTACTATTAAAACAATCGGTTATAATTTTGAGCGAAAGGTTATATAATCTATATATTCCTAGATGCTCGCAATGCATCTCGCGTATTGGATCAACGCCGAATCTTTTATGAAGAATCACTCGTGAACAGCAAGGGAATTTCGCGCCAAGGTTGAGCACTCTGTTGAATAACCATCGACATAGAAGTAAGCATGAATATAAATATTATTTTATAGACTTGGTGTACAGGCTACTAAGTTTAAAAGTTTCATGAAATGCGTCGGGAGCGATAAAGGTCAAAGGGTTATACCTTAGATCCCTAGAGTATTAATTATAATAATATATGATATATAATAACATGAAAAATAGTTAATATTTTTTTTACAAGCGCGTTAAAGATGGGAGATCCTTGAAAGTGTTAGGGGCAATTGATATTAATTTGTTATTGAAAAAGCTTCTATATGTCCGGAAAATGTCATTTTAGAGGAGAACGCAAGGCATTAATAAAAACTTACAGTTCTTGTAAGTTAGTTAAGCCTTGAAATGCTTTCTCATTAACTGTTTTAATGGGACAGTTACCGAAAGTTCTTAATGATAATTTATTTAAAAAATTTATATAATCTTGATTACTAATGGAACGATAAGATATACTTGCTACATAATTTACGTACAGTGTGGTTAAGGATCGCAATTTACTTAGTACATTTAAGCCAAGAACGGTAATCTGAGTAACCGTGAGATGTCTATATAAAAACTCAATAAAACCCAAAACTTTATGATAAAAATAACTATTAAATCTATTATAATATACTTATAATAAAAAAAGTTACAGTAATCTTTACAAAGTTTTTAATTTTATTAAGCCTTCAAACATGTTCTTATTAAGAGAGGTGATCGGATTTTTAAGCAGCGACCTTCGAAACAAATAGCGAATTACTCGTGTTCTTCATAAAATTGTTTATCATAATAATTCTAATACTTACAAATATTCAAGTGAAGACAGATCTTTAAAAGTACTATGGCCAATAAAGTGAAGGCCATTAGCAGATAAATATCTACAGGGAAACATCAAGCAGACTTAGTAATTCTTTAAAATCCTTAGATCTCGGTAAAAAATGTCTTAAACTTACAAGATTTTCAAGTTGGTCAGTTTACTAAAAGTTTTCACGTTGACTGAAGTTATTTTATTAAAATCTAAAACTCTAAAAACCAAATAATTTTTTAAAACTTAAGCGATTCAGCAGAGAAGATTTGGTGACGCACAAAGAACTTAGCAAAGAAAGTCTACTAAAAGAGTTAGCAGCTATCGACGTTATTTCATTGGACCAGAAGGACCTAAGAAAAATAGTAGTTAAGCGCATGTAATCCCTTCAGAAATCTTCAAGAAAGCATACAAATCCTGTAGACTCGCTAAACCTTCAAACATTTTCCCGTGAAGAAAAGCTACCTGATTCATTTCTATATTTCTTCGTTTTATAAAATAAATTAAGCGGGTGAACATGGAATAGATTATAAACAATGCAAGTATTTACTAAAACTCTTCAAGGGCCTGCTTCTTAATTATAAGACTTTACAAAGAATCAGTGCTGCACTATAATTATAGGCTAACACAGAAAGACTTACAGGCTCTTTAAATTTTTGAGGCCCTTAAAAGAACCTGGGTTTATATTGGTTATGCGATTATCCATTAAAATTCTATAAGCCTAACTTTGAGATTAGAGTGTATTTATAATATGAGAAACACGTACAACTCCTCCAAACTTGTTAACCCTCCAAATAGCCCTCCGTAAATGAAAGTTAGCCGGTTATTTCTTATGTTTCTACAAGTTAATATAAGATAACCTTTGTTTCAAATCTTGGAGTTGATAAATTATACAGAAAAAATTAAATTTTGGTATAGCAAGGCCAGTGACATTTAAAAAAATTATAAAAACTTACAAAGTTTTTAACATTTTGAGTCCGTAAAAGGAACCCTTTTTGATGGTGGTGATGGAATTATTTTCTAAAATTCTGTTAGGTCATTATAATACATAAGTCCTTCATAAAATGATTTCATTTAACAATCAAGAAAAACAAAGTTCAGAGTATATACTCAACTCCTAGAAACTTCCTAGAGACTCGTAAACTAACATTGCTTCATGGTTTTACAAAGTTAGTATTACATATAAATTATTTTATGCAATTAGAAAGTATAATTTTTTGGCAAAACTTACAAGGTACGTAAGTGTCCTAGGCTTCTGAATGAATTTTTTTTTAAAATGGTAATGTTATTATTTTCTAAAGTTCTGGTATATACAACAGCATGAGTTTTTCTCAGGTTAAAGGTACATTGTATACTTAATTTTTGACAGTTACGCAATGCTTAGTCAATAAGAAAAATTTTTTAGTTGACTTATTTGGACTATAATTATATATTACCATTAATTATTTAAAGGTTAAAAATATAAAGATGAACACAGCTACTTCTAGAGTCACATAAGATATTTTTTATTTTTCAGCATTTCAATCTCTTAAGTATAGCATTGTTAGCATCTCATTCGGCTGTTTATATGCATTTAATATTACACAATAAAGTTAACTTTTCATATGATCAAAGTTGCCGTGTTAGTGCTAATAATAAACTTACAGGTATGTTACGCTGGAGAGACCGTGAAAATTAATAGATATATTTGTAACTAAACAATCCTGGAATTCCCTTAAAAGGTATGAGTATAATAGGAACTTCTAATGCTGTCTACTGTAAAAGGTATTTGTCATGATGGCTTACAATTCCCTACAATTTTGGGCTCTGCAGGAAACCAACTTCTGTTTATATTCGCAATATTGCAACGATGATAGCGCAAAGCAGAACATAATTGAAAAAATTTTCAAGGCGCGCATATTGAAGTTTAAAATTAAAATAAAGCGGCAACCAAACCAAAGACTTAAAAAACAATTTCCCATATATTTTACTTTTTTATATACCCTTTAGAGTTTCAATTATTATATATTCGCTGTAAATTTAATTAACAAAAAAATTTACGATTATAAATAGTTTATCACAATCGTTTAATATTATAGTAACACAGTTAATTTCCAACCTTAACTTCTTGTACATGAAAAGCCTCATGATATATTTTTAATTATATCGAAGCTTTAAGTCAAAACAAACTACTTATTCTTATTCCAAAAAAAATTTCCTGTTTCAAAAGAATAGGGAATTAACAAATTGTTTGTCTCTAACTGATAAAAGAAGACAACATATCAGCTTGTTTTCTACGGAGGTTCATAAATTAGGTAAAATGAAAATTTCACATGCACTACGCATTATGTTAGAAAATTATTATTGTTATTTAGGCCTTGAGTTAAAAACAAACTAGGTAACAATATAAAAGGCACCGACCAAGGGAGACAAACAAAAACTTAATTTACATTTTTAAAATATTGTTATTAGTATATAACCACCTCGTTGACAAACAAAGTCAAGGCATCAAAAAAAAAAATTGCTATCATGCATAGACTGCGTTTTTTATAGGATTTACTTTAGGGTATGCGACAAAATCGGTTTTAAAATGTTCATAGAAGGTTTTGGAGCTGGAAAGGCAATCCTAATTAATCTATAAAAATTAAACAGAAAAATGATAGGGATTTTATAAAACGTAATTTATTTTTTTAAGCTATCTCGTTACTCTAGTATTTAAAATTGATAGGTGCCCTAATTACTACTAAGTTTGCTTCTGTTAAACTTCAGGACGGGTAAACATGAACAAATCTACTAAACGATTGCAACGTAAAGTGCTTGTTATAAAATTAGGAATTAAAATGCCTAATACATAATTACATCATTGATATGGGGTTTAATAAAAGCGAATTCAAACATATTCTTTTTAATAAATTAAAAAACAATTTTTTAATTATATTCCGTTGCGCTTATTATACATGTCATGCAGTAACGTCTAGAATAGAGTTATAATAAACAGTTGGCACTTTGCTCTTAGGCAATATTCAAAAAGTTAGATCCTAACCTTTAATAATGGAATCCTCAGTTGTTAAGCCATGACTAATTACTGAACAAGCTGATTAGTTAAAAACCTTTTATAACAATTTTTCAATTGAACTTAAAAAAGGATTTATTTTTGAGTTTAATAAAACAAGTAGAAGATGCATTAAACTTGTTAACAAACCTCTTTAAAAAAAATTAGGCAAAAATCGCTTTAGAAAGTATTTAACTTATTTGATTAAGGGTTAAGAAAATTTGTCATTTAGAATTTTAATCTACTTTAAAAACGTAAATTATTTCTAATAAATAAAGTTAAATTTCCATTAACGGAAAAAAAAATTCTCCAGTGCCATAATTTGTCTTTTTTTGTATATTAAAGACCTTATTTGGGGTAGTCATCTTCGAATTTTTTATGTTACGTCATTTCAAGGGGATCTTCGTTACAATTATTTACCATTAAAAGTAATAGTGCGTGTAAGCAGAGGAAAAGAGATGCTAAGGAAGCGTGAAGGACCAACAATTTTCGAAAATTTGACTCATTTTCGTGTGATGATTTAACTCATTAATAGCAAAATTAGAAAACGTAGCCTCAGAAAAAATTTTGGTATTAAGAAAGGCTGAAAGGAATTACTAAAAATATGAGTATTAATGTAGCTCTTTAATAGAAGTTTAACCACATGCAAGCGATAGCAAGTAAGAGTTGGGTCTGTGCTCACTGCATCCGCTTGAAGTTAGCGCAATGCTTTAGTAGAGTTTCTACGACCCCAATTAAACCTTGAGTTACGCCTAGTATATCACGCCTGCGACCATTAGAGTTTCTGTTTTTCAAAAAAGGCGGTTATCGCGCAGGGGTTGCCTCGCAGCTGCATTCGTGCTTGATATTAACTTTACTGTTGGATGTATAAATAGGAGGGTTGAAATCTCTTGAGGGACTTTAAGATTATAAAGTTAGACCTTTTTTTTAGTACAAAAAAGATGCTACTTATGTTATGATAGTGGAGTTATAACGCGTGTAACTTTGTGCTCTTGTATACCCATAAAGCACTTCAGCAAACTTTGCTCTAGCTAGTTTAGTTGTACTTCTTTTAGTATATCCTCCATTATACGCGATGGAACGATATAAGTGCTCAACTATAGTGTTTGATAACGTTTGAAAATACTTAAATTTATATCTATATATATTTTTTATTACTTAAATATAGTAGTAAAGTTTGAGCTTAACTTGTAAAAAAGCGCAAGCATTGGGTAAAGTATTTAAGAACAAAACCGTTTTCCGAGCTTGTTTAATAGGTCATCGATCCTTTATAAACAATTATATGATGAGGCATATTATTATGGAGGATAAGCACAATGAGTTAGAATTTTTGAAACATAAACTTTAGAGTTGTTACGTGAAAGTAACTTATTTTATTGGCTACGTTAATTTAAATATTGTACAGTGCTGACTGAACAGAGTCTTAAAATGGAAGTTTTTCATTTTAAGAGATTGCATTTTTAAAAATATGGTGAAGGTTCTGACAAAGCCTGTCAGGGGAGGCAAATTTATATTATGTATTCATCAAGAGTACATAGTTAACATAATTTCAAAGCGTTAATGCCTTTTTTTCAGTCAAAGAGCATTTGTTGCGCGAAGATAAAAAAAGCCTTGCAATATTTTTTTCCTGCTAATATTCTTGGCTTTGTACACAGAATGTATGCCAGTTAATGTATTTCGAAGTTACTGGCTTCAACTAATTTATAACGTGCAATCCCCCCTTAACTTAGAAGTCAGTTTACTTGTAGAAAAATAAGTCAACTTTACTGTATGCACAAAATGCTTAGAAAAAAGAAATAAGGTAAAATTTAAGCCCTAATACTGTTACAAACCTTGATACTTCCTGGTGTATCTGGTGTATTATTTAGGAGGCATGACTGACTCTTAACTATAATAGATTTTCTATCATTAATGAAAAATATTAACGCCAAATAAATCTTAAAGCCGAGCTCCTTTAATACAATGCCGTGATTAGGGCAAATATTCCTGTGGCTACGTATTTCTACTTTGTACTGCGGTTTTAAAAACAATGCTCTCAATTTTACTAGAATACCTTAATTTGCGCAAACTTTGCATCTTGGAGAACTTTGCACCTTGGAGTAGGTTTGAACAACTTCTTTTTTACTCCCAGAGGAAAGCAGCAAGGACATTTAAATATATATTAACCAGAGCAACGAACTTTCCTCCTGCATATATTTTATAATATTAACGGCCTAAACATTTTCTGGGCACATCTAAGATAGCGAATATATTAATATTAAAGGCAAAGCATTTTACTTTGTGGAGAGACCTCTCTTTGTGATAAAATTATGTAGTACACCGACTGTATACGGTAAAGCATAAATAGATAAACTTTTTCTGTAACAAATTAAATTTCTTTTAGAATGTTCTGCATTATGTCAGTTATGATTAAAAATTTTTCCTTCATATATATAAACTTTCACTTCAAGTTTTGTATTTTCCTACAATTTTTTTACAAGTAGTTTTTTAAATAAATATTTCATTACAGCTACTTTTCATTTTTTTAAATACTTACATATTTAAAGTAAACATTAAAAAACTATACATTTAGTTTTAGAAACACAAGTAACAAAATTTATAACGCAATATATAATAATTAGAGATACATGTATTTATATTTTTTTTCTGTTAAATAGTTACTTAATAACATCTCACGCAATTATTATAACTAGTTCTGTCATTAAAATTTTTTATAGTTTTTTTTATTTCCTTGTAGTAAATAATATGAAGTACTAACTATCAATAATAATAAAAAGAACTTTATGCAATTTTCACCAACTGCTGATAAACCTTCTCGTAATAAAAAGTTAAAGTCGCAATTTTTTTTCAAAAAGCGCTAAACAGCCTCAAAAATTATGTCTTAGTTTAACATTAACACTTTTGGGTTTACGGAGCCGTTGATAGTTTGCTTGCACAAAAAAACTTTTAAATAACTAAAAACTACGATTAATAAAAAAATTTCAGTTTTTTGGATTTATTTGTTACTCTTTTTACATTTCATTTCTATAATTCTTTTATTTCGTTTCATTAAAAAATTAATAATTATTTTTATAGAAAAATTTACATTATCTGCTTTTTATACTCCAAACGATTTATTCATTGAAAAAATAGCAAACTTAAAAAAGTTTCCAACGCCAATAAATAAAACTCTGAAAAGGCAACAGGTGCAGAGATTTTAAAGATTATTAGGATTAATTAAAACTTAAATCTTTAACATTGCTTAATCCTAAAGTTGAACCTAAAGTTGAAAATTGTTTACTTTTACAACAGAAAGGGGGTTCGCTAATAAACATAGTTTTTTATCATGAATAAAAATATATCAAATAAGTTAATTTATAATAATTCCTTTAGTAAAAATATTTCAAATTAAATTTTTCGTCTCGAATCTTCTTTATTCAGGTTTCTACTGAAACAAATAAGTATTAATCAAGTATAGCAAAATAGTATAAGGGGAAAAAAGTTACCTAAAAGGTTTGCCCTCGATATCAAGGCCCAAAGCTTTTAGGAATTTAATTAAATTTTAAAAAAAAAAAGTTTACGATTAAATGTAAACAGAAAAATATAAATTATTTATTTCATTTAACAGAAAAAATTATTTTTCTAAAATTTTAAAAAGTTAAATAAAAAAATAAATATGCTTATAAAAAAATTAAACTAATTTATTTTATGTAAAAAGTCAATACTTTTTCGGAAGAACTAAATTTTAATAAGCTACTAAAACTTATATAGAACTCCAGAAGCATTTTGTAAGTTTTAATTATTTGACTCAATAATTATTATAAAAATACTTAAAAACGTTGAAACTACTAAAATAACAGTTAAAGAAATTGTGAACTAAATTAATAATATGAATTTTTTTTTAATATATTATAATAGCAGTTTATAAAATCTCACAAAAATACAAAAAATATTTCCAAAAATTAAAAATTTCTAACAAATAAATTTTAATTATAGTTGATGGTTAAAAGAGGTATAAAAGTTTTCTCAAAAAGAAATCAAATAACTTTTATAAGTTATTATTAAAAATAAATACTAACAATAAATCTTTTATAAAAATAACAAAATTTCTCTCAACAAAAAAAAAATTTCAAAAAACAATTATTAAACTTTCAAATCTTTCATATCTGAATTAAATAAAATAAAAAATAAAAAAATAACATTTAAAAAACTAAAAATAGTAAGTAACTGAAAAAATTTTTAACAACTATAATTATCTAATATAAAGAGTTCCCCCAGAAACTTTTAAATCTTAAAGGATTTTGAATCGAATTAGAGATATCTAACACTAATTTTTTAAAAAAGCAAACTGAAAATTGTTAAATCAGCAAAAAACTGTGAATAAATCTATTTAATAACAAAACTTTAATAAAATTTTAAGTAAAATTTATATTAAGTAAAAGAATAAAACTAAACAACATAATTATAATAAGTTTTGAATACTATTTGTGTTTAGTAAAAATAATATATTTGATAAAATATTTATTAGTTATAGAAATCATAACAAAAAGAGAATAACAAAGCAGCTATCGATCTTTACTTAAAAAAGTCGATAATGCTGTACAGTTTTTTCTCTAAAGAGCTCGAGGAGCATATCAAGCCTTTTGCCATAAATTATGTTTCTGGTAAAAATTCAAGTTGGACGTGCAAGTGCAAGACGAGCGTTTATAATAAGAAAAATAAACGTAGAAAGGCTGGCAATCGCGTATCTCTTGACCATTTTTTTAGATCCCATGATTGTCAGCTATAGATAGAAGCTGGTTGTACACCCCTTAGTAAAGAAGCTGCTAAGCTCTTCAAAAATAAAACTGGTAGTAGGAAGAAACTGAAAGAAGCTTCAAAAAAAACTCCAATTGGTATAAATAAATTGGTTAAGGAGCAAATCGATGCCACAAGTCTTTCTAAAAAAGTTGTGGAAGAATAATCAAAACCACATAAAAGAATTAACATCCCTAAATTTTCAACAAAAAATAATTTAAAATTTTATTATAAATTACATGCTTTAGTAACTAAAAAAAAATTAAATTAAATTCTTAGCAAACTTAATAGTCAAAGCTATACATATCATTGAAGTGCTTAAACTTTTAATCAGAAATTTAAATATTTTTGATAAAGCAAAAATTTAAATGCAACACAAACAAAAAATATATTTAAATTCTTAACAAATTTTATTTATCATTTAAGTTAGAAAATTAATGATAAATATAGTAACTATTAATAAGCGGCAATAATAACATATTAAAACTTTAAAGCTTAGAAGAAATGAACTGTAATTAATATCCCAATAAATATTTCCCTAAAACATTATTAAAAACTATATTAAAAAAATATTCGACGTTATATAGAGAAATTACTTAAAATTTTAAACTTAAATCTAATTAATTGAAAGGTAAAAAAATTATTTAATTTTTATTTACTAATAAATTTATTATATAAATCCTAATATATTAAAATTCTTTAAAAAATAGTAGAAATTTAAACTAAAATTAAAATTCTTAAATAATTATTTTTTCCTATTCTAATAATTTTTACGTTGAAAGGTAAAAAGCTCAACTAAAAAAACTATAAAAAACGAAAAGCAAAAGATAATTTACAAAAGAGGATCTGGTGATCGGGCTTAACGAGAGAAGGAATGTACGTTTTTTCAAGCACTACAGCAGCAGGAGTGTCTTTGGGGCCCGCCTCTTCGATAAAAAAAATTAATTATTTTTAAAAATAATTAAATTCAATATTTTAACTAAAATTAGTAAAACAAAAAATAGCAAGTAATTTAATTTCTAATATAAACTTACTATTACATTTTTAGACAAAAATTTATAAGTTTTTTTAAAAAAAAAAATTGCAAGTAAAAGTATAATTATATTAATAACAATTCAAAGTGCAACTTAACAATTAAATTATAAAGAAAAGCTGTACAAAATAGCTTGTAACAAATTAACTTAATTAAGAAAAATAATAACAAGTTAAACGATAACTGTACATAGATACGTACGTATTTTGTCCAATTTCTTTTCAACTATTTTGGGAAACGGAATTTCGTGTCCAGTGTCGAGAGTAGCTCTAGTTCTTATATCTTTTTTCTTATCCACAATTAGTCTCACTCTAACGGGCACACTGAATAGTTTTGTAAGGTAAATTCATATAAAATAATATATAATATAAAAATTCTTAAAATTTTTTGAACTGATCAGTACTTTTTTATTGGATGAATTAAAGCCACGTCAGAGTAACGTATAGGCCTTTCATTTTCAAAGAGGCCACCAGGATTCCCACCAGCTGCAGGTATTCGCCGGACCGTCTGTTAAAATATTTTACAGTATTTTAATAAATAAATAAGTCAACGATCCAAGTAAAAGTACCAAAGAAACACCCTTTACTCTAACTTTGTTCTCATTATATATATTTTCGATGATTTTACCCCTTTTTCCTAAATAAGGCCCCTGAATAACTTCAACTTCGTCCCCTAAAAAAAAAAAGATATTTATTTTAAAAGTTTCAAAAAAAAAAAACTTACCAACAGAAAGCTTCCAACTTTCTCGAGGAATAACGGCTTCCCTCATTTTTCTATGCCTTTTCAGCCAAGGCAATAGAGGGATCTTTAACTACAAATTTAAATAAATTTTTTAGCACTTTAAAAAATTTTAAATAAAAGTAGAAATGAAGATTATATTTTTATATATTTTAATATAAACAACATCAAACCGGCTTAAACTTGTAAACCATCTACGGAATATTAAATATTGTAACGTGCGTTAAACTACGTGGTTATAATAATGCATAATGTTATATTTCTATTGGCTATAATAAGCATCTAAATATCTGATAATTAGCTATTGTCGATTTCTTAAGCTGTAATAAAGCGGTCGTCCCACTTCTTTATTGTTTGAGTGAACTGCAATTACTATACCCCCAGGGGGTAGGAAAGAGCAGGAAGGAATACCCCCTTTTGTAAAACTGGAAGTTAAAAGTGAAAAAAATATATATGGATAAACATTTCTTACAACTTAAGTGATGATGACTAGCAGAATTCTTTTAAAAACTTGTAGTTTTATACATGAGCTGGTAACATTTTAAAACACACCCTAATGAAATTTGTAGCTTTTTGATTGCCTATCATTTGAATATAGCAACTTTGACCTTCTATAATGATAACTTTCCCTCTCTTTACTTTTCACAAATACGTTGATTTTAAAATAAATAAAAAAACAAACTTGGTAGGTTTCCGAAAAATTGTGTTTGACTAATCCAATAAAATTGTCAGATTACCAACTCAAACGTTTTTTTTTTTTTTCGTTTTCTTCTAGTAGAAAAACTTAATTACAATTTAAGGTGGTACTTAATTTTGTTTTATCAAAAAGCCTTTTATTATGCAGGCTTTCAACTTTATTATAATTTAGTGGTTGTAGCGTTCAGCCAAAACTCAGAAACTTCATTGAGGTGGTGTTTATTGTCTCTCCTAAAGCAATGGTGGATTTGTCTACTTGTTCCATCTACCTATCCTAATGTTTAAGTCAACTCACTACTAACCGGCTCTCACTAGAGGATTTACGGTTTTTGATTACACTTTAACAAGTGAAATAACTTAACTAAACAATCGAGAGGGACTTAAAATAAAACAGCCCCTAGCAAATGTCTTCGAAAGACTGGTCTGGTTGCGGTCTGAACTCGAGCTGACCTCTTGATGTTTTTCTAGGTAAAGCTAACTCAAGTGAAAACACGGATGAAGCAAAGTACTGTAAAAGGAAATATAAAATAAAACTTTAAGGGAGTGAAATAGATTATGCAACTGTAGAGCTTTATAAGTTGGACAATTGAGAATTTTCTAATACCTTTTCGCAAATTTAAATTAATTTCTTGGCCCGTGTAACGGCGGTCAACTAGAGTCTCACCTGTCTCTTACTTTAAATTCAAACTAGTTAACTTTTACTAGTTCTAACAGATAGAACTAGTTACGATTTCTTTAACTTTGGAGTAATCTTGGTTATAATAAGTTTTAGTAAGCTCTGCGTCACTTGTAAACAGTTGCGAACGTAAATTCGAAAGGAGCTAAGTGGGTTACTTTTATGACTAACATCTGCTTTCCTCGCTTCTAAAGGCTCTCAGACTATTAAGAATTAGTTTTAAGATAGTAGTATCTTAATTAACTCGACTACGACAGCAATTTTACACACACTTAAAGTTAACTTGCTTAACAGTACTGATCCAGATATTGCTAAACCTATTTTACTTTGCGACGGGCATCGAAATCACTTATTCGGGCCTGAATAGACATATTCAAGCACCAACTCGGTTGCTAGTTTAGTTGGTACCTGCTTAGGTGTCCTACTCAAGCTAAAAGTTATTTACCCTGTTCGCTAGAATATTTAGAAAGCTGCAAAAGTTAGTCAAATAGAGCTATAGGGGTATAATAGAGTAGCAGTTACCTTTCTTGCAAATCTGCAGACAATACAAGTAATAAATTACTTATGTTTTTATTAATATTATACACTAATAGTCGGCAATGGCTGTTACTATTGTCTTTATTTTTACATACTTAAAGGTATGGTTCTTAAAATGATTCTCAGAAATGGGACTTAGAGTCTTGCAAATAGGCAAAATTTAAAATCAATAAATATTTTTTTTTAAAAAAACAAAAACTGTACTTTAATACATCTTTCTCTTGCAGAAAATGTCATATAAATCACACATTAAATAGAAGGATAAGATATTACATTACGATAAAAACTATTTATTTATATAAGTTATTAATCAAACTAATTCCAAAAATTAAAAATTAATAGTACGTTTAAAGCGCAAAGCGTATACGTGGAACTTTTCTTAAAGTAAAAAGTTAAAGTATAGTAATCAGTATAATATAAATTGGTCGAAAAAGAAATCCAACCGAGAGCATTACTAACATACTAAGAGCAACTCATGCCATATCTTCTATACGAATTTGCAATTTAACCATCACATACACCAAAAATAGTATGAACGGTTTTTTTCGTTATTATATCTCAATTTTTTGTTTTGATGAAAGTAACTGTTATAAAATTAAACTGAATGGTAGTAATAATTGCATTTTAGATAGTAGGTCTTGCTCCAGTAGCATACAATTCTGTCTATCTAGGCGGTCGTATACTTGTTGCTTTGCTGTTACAGTACTATCATACATAAACATTAGTTTAATAAATAAAATGAAAACACGCATGAAGTGATAATGGAGTTATGTACGTTTTTAAATTGAAGTAGACTTGTCTTTCTTTTGAAGATAAGTTTTAGGGTTTGTGTTTCGGGCTTAATTTTTTAATTCTTTAGTTTGACTTAGAGGGTAACGAAAAAGCTAACAAATACTGCAAATTCTTATTGCAAAGTTGCACAGGGCAACGTTGCAGTAGGTTTTAAAAAATGCACGGAATTTTATTATTTTTAGTCATTAAAGTCAATTTGTTAGAAGTAAAAGTATAGTATATATCCTATAAACCCCTATTTGGATATCGTTAGTACGCAAAAACCTTAACCTTGCAAAAACTGGTATATTAAAAAACTAACTACTTTCCCGGTGTTAGCAAGTTCAGTTTTTTTTTCCTTTTACTTACTATTCCTTATGACTTGACGCTGCAAGAAGAATATGACAGAATTAAATATACTCAACTACATAGCCGGAGTCGACTTTTCTAACATATCTTTTCGGGCTTATAAAAACAAATTTTTCAACTATTTTCATAATCTTGACAATATCTCTAGAGGTCTTTCTATTAATATAGACGAAGAAAAAGAAAAAATATTAGACAATAATAGGTTTCTCTTAAGAATCTTAACGTTAATAACTTATATTTAAAAACCTTTTTTTCTAACACGTTACAGAGAAGTTCTGTTTGAAGAACTAAAAATTTTAACGTGGTTAAAGTTAAATAATTGCGATTTATTTGAAATTCCAAGAGGACTAAAACATTGCCAATATGTCCATTATTTTAATATTATCTTGATAAATTTTTTTTATTTTCTTTAATTAGTTAAAAAGGTTATCAGCAAAGAATAACTGCCTTACAGGGCTTCCTTCTCCTGGTCAACTTTTCTTTTTAGAGGTTTTCATAATTTTTAAATAAAAAGTTTAAAAACCTTAATTTTCTTTTATTGCAAGTTTTAAAAGTAAAATTTATCTTTTTTTATTAAAAACTGTAGGGTTTAAATGTAAGAAGTAATCAGCTTTCTAAAAGCACTGCCGAAATGTACTTTGAACATTTAACAGAATTAAATTTTAGGTTGTTGATTGTTTTTAGTATATTTTAGTAATATAACATTTTATTATTTTATTTAACAATAATAGCTATAACGGTTTTAAATCATTTCCGCTGGACTTAGTTAATCAAAAGAAACTGCGAGCGCTTTCCCTTGCAAATAACTCCATTCCCTCAATTTCCATTGAGTTTTTCGATGCTGCAACGGAATTGCGATACTTGGATCTCTCCGACAATGAAATTAGTATTTATTCAAAATTTATAGATTGTCTCTTTATTCTTTAAGTCAAGTCTTTTTATTGTTAACTTTTTACTAATCAAAAATGCCTTGCTGACTGCTCATCCCTAATTTATAGCTGCCATACCTGCGGCCATACGACGACTCGAGGGGAAGCTGTTCCACCTGTCTCTAGCCAATAATCCACGTTTAGAAAAAGATCGGCTGCGATCCGTTCTTTGCGGACTGACTAACCTAGTCTCTCTGAATCTCGCTGGTACTGGCCGTTCGGAATCTAGTCTTGTTAATTCTTTTTTCTTCTTTGACTTTACGTTGAAGCAAACGCTACTCCACTATTATCAGAGCGAATTAAGGAATCTTTCGAAACTGACATACCTTGATTTGTCCAACAACGCACTGAGCAGCGTCCCTGAAGCACTTTTCGAACTTAATAATCTCAAACATTTGAAGCTTAACAAAAATAAAATCTCTTCGTTTACAGTAAAAAAGGGTTTATATCTTTAATTTTCGATTAAGCAAGAATTTTTGTTTATAACTAGACTAGGAAATCTATAAAACCAAGAAAAAACTGAATTGGCTTTCTTATTAATTTTTAAATTTTTAGATTCATCGGTTTCCGAATTAACGAGTCTCAATTTGTCTCATAATAAACTTGAAAAGCTCGACGAAAGTATTGGCTGTCTCGTGAAGCTGGAAAACTTTTACATCAGCAATAACAAACTTTCAGCGCTTCCTGCTTCTTTCGGTTTTCTGAAAGAACTCCATTGTCTTTACGTAACTCCAATATTATTTGCTTCTTTTTTGAATTTTCCTCAGCAAAGCCTTGAGCTTCTGCAGATTAACAGCAATACTTTCTGCGAGTTTCCTCTTATAATCACGCACTGTTCCAAGCTTGTGGAACTGCACATGTGCTTCAACCTTCTAACTCGAGTACCTCCTGACATCTACTGGCTAACAGAACTGGAGGTCTTTTCTACCTTCGGAAATGTGGGACTGACCATCCCTCCGTATCTCTGCGCACACTTCACTTTCTCAACTCCAGCATTCTCGCCTTATTCTTTAGGCGCCCCAAGCAACTCGACACCTTGGCCGAGTTTTATCATGTGGACTTCACAAGGTATATAAAAGTTTTTTTTGTATCTTTATGCGACTCTGATTGGCGGGTTTAGTGCTAAAGATGAAGTTGAGCGAATCGGAGAACAGGACGATGAGATAATAGAAGAGGAAAGGGAGGAAGTTCTATTTCTGCACAAGGCAGAGGTAGAAAATCAACGAGGCCGCCAACGAAAACTTTACTGCGGTACTCGTTCTTTCGAGGTATTTGCACGAGCACAACGAGGCTACAGCGCGGAGGATGGAGGAAACGGCACAAATGCACTCCACTTCAGGGAGGGCGAAATCATCCGGAACGTCCAACGCATCGATACACAAACGTGGGAAGGTCGTTTAAATTCTTCATCCATATTTGCAATGCCAATACACGTCTCTAAAAGGCTCTATCGGCTCTCGGAGTGGTCAGTTTCCAGCCTCATACGTCTGTGAAATTTCTGCTAAGGATGCCCTTCAGTGGTTGGAAAAATCGGGACGGGCGGTGGCCTTTATTACACGTCTAACTGAACCACGCTATTATGTAACCTTCGTGGGTTATACAAGATTGTCAATAGCAAGAAGTGTGACGAGACTTTGCTCAGAGGTCTGCAGCAGCAGAATGCGTCCACCCCATCTCAGGCTAGGCAACCTATGCATCGTGTGTAGCGCGTGTTTGATGGGTTTAGTGCAGGTGCTGCCCATGAGGACATCTGACTTGGACTTTGTGGTGGGCATACAGCCAAGGAGCCTCAAAGGCCAAGCGATGGTTGTCACGGGGATTTATTCCGAGGAGGTTGGAAAGCGCGTGGGCGTGGAATGCTGGTCTTTAGTTTTCATTGTACAGGAGAATTTTAGTGGTTTATTTTATTTTAGGGCGATTAGTAACTTTCAGCCAGTTCCTGCGCACGAAGTATTACAAAGCGGTCTTCTCTCCGGTGAGGCCTACGTTATCCTTCACACCCAACAAGCTGTCGATACACTTGGTAGGTTAACTTCAGAGCCATCGCATTAACAAGAGCTTACTCTGTTTTGATACTATTAAGGGGCTGCCGACCAAAATAAACTGCAGTGGACTGTGTATTACTGGCTGGGGCAGGAGTCGTCTGCAGACAAGCGTGCGTGTGTGGCTATCCACGCGGGTTACCAGTCTTTTATAATAATATCGCCGTCCAATAACTTTCGCCTGGTGTCCAGTAAACCTAAAGGGGTATCTTGGTGGCGGCAAAATAGTCCGATTGGTCCAAGGCGATGAACCTCCAGAGTTTCTGAAGCTGTTTCCTCAGACTGTCCAGGAGGGCAGCCTGTACGCATCGTCCTTAAGAGAGCCGGAAGAGACATGTGCCTCTTTAAGGGTGTATCTTTTAGAAAGTGGTTCATACCCTTACTATTCTTGCATGTCCACTCTTCCATGCGCTTTACTTAGACCGCGGCGGTAGTATTGAGGCAGTTCTAGTTGACGAGTACGATCCCCCCTTCCACCCGACCTGCGTCTTGCTATTCGACCAGGGCCCTCTTAAGCATCTATGGGGAGTCTTCTCTCTTGGGAGGGGCATGCATAACCGGTTGCTCATCGTATCAATGACAGGTACGGCCGGGAAACCGCGTTTTCTCAGCGAAGCAAAGCGAGGCTTTACGTCGACCAAATCAACAAGAACGACCATTTGGGGAAGGTGCTTGTTTTCAGTTATGATTGGTCGGCCAAAAAGATAAGTGCAACCAGGCTACTGTGAAAGAGATTCTACAGGGCAGCGAAGACGTCGCCTTCTGGCAGTGTATAGAATGCTTGCCTCCCGAAAAAGGTTGTCTTTGCTGGCCGCTGGAATGTCAAGCCTAATTTAAGGAAAACATTCACCACTAGACGCAGATCTCAAGCCTCGACTCGATTTGAAAGCGCTGCAGGGACGAATCATATTCTATACTTTGGAAATCAATTTGCCGGTTACTTGGGAAACGGTGCGTCACTCCGGTGGTTTATTCTTGTAAACACGTGCTTTTCCGCCCTAAAATTTAAAAGCGACAGGAAAGCGCTACTTTCTACATCGCCAAAGTAATGGAGAAATAAAGAAGTACGACCGACTTCCGCTGCTGACCCGCCAAGGTGCTCCCAGCTATTAGTCCGTTGCCGAAGCACTGTGCTACAAATCGACTTGCACCATTTCAGAGTTCCAAGGAGGGTTCTTCCAGCTGCACCAGGAAAGTATAGGCTTAAATAAACTCTCCCGCTATTGGTTGAAGGAAGAATGCGTGCGTACTTCTTAGTTCGTCACACTGTTGTTACGTGCTTCCGTCTAGGGCGCTCACATAGGTCCACTTCATAGATACCGGTAGTATGATCTACCAATGGCTTGGTTAGTCCTTTTTTACCGCCAATCAAAACCGAGTTAATTATTCCTTTTGTAGGCTCTAAGGCGGACAAACTGTCCCAACTTCTCTGCAGCGAGTACTGTGTATCTCCTATTGGCCCTTCTACTTCTTTCTCTCTTTCGCTCTCTTACTAACGATCACCTGGCAAACAGTGTTAAGGATATCATTGCCAACATTTTCAACCGTCCGGAGTTCGCCCATTCGAAGCTTTGCCGCCAATACTCGGAGCCCTTTTTGTTTAAGACTCTTTTTTACGATTGGGACGACTCGTCATTGGACCGCTCAAAGGGTGCGCTGAAATGCCTCAGACTGGCGCTTCTTCTTATACTTTTTTTTGATTGATGTACTCTCTTAATCCATGAGGACAGCATCGACCAGTAAAGGGAGAAGGAGGAAGTTATGGCCAATGCCCACGCCTCCAAAGTGTAAGAGCTTCTCATTAAAACGCTCAAAGTAAGTTTTTCTTTATCTGTTCTTCTACTAGACGATGTAGAATATGACGTCCTCGCGTTGTTTGCCTATAAAAAGTGGGAAGACAACGAGTACTACGATGCACTGCGAGCAGACTGCAACTTTGAATGCGTCAACGCTGATAAATTTGAACACGTGTTTAAACTCATGCATGGCTCGTTCGTTCCCGTTTTCGACAAGTTTGCTCCGTTATACGAAACAGAGATCCGGATCTTCCTAGGTTTAATAGGAGTACTCAGTGCTGTATAACTTCATACATTACTTTGACTGTGGTTAGTGGACTACAGAGTAGTGGAAATTTCCTGTGAAAAAGAGCAGATCGAAAGGGTCGCTTACGTCTGGCAAGGTCGGAAGGCCTCTCGCATGGATTGGCTTACCTTTAGCATGGGTTCGCACAATTGGTGTACGTTATGTTCAAAGTATTTTTCTTTTTATACCAATGAAAAGGTGCGAAGAACACGTTTATAGACTTGTTTATGACCAAAGTGGATTTGGTTACTTTCTCTAGCGTTATATGGTATGAGACAGCACTAACGGGTCCATAGGAGAACCAGGGAGCACAGGCTCAGCTAAAAAGGAAACTACGTAAGTCTCTTGCGCCACCTTTTTTTTTAAAAAAATATATTTATACTTTTTCTAACTGCTCGAAAGAGAACTACGTCAAGTCTGTTGTACAGTACTGCCACGGATGGTCGGCGGAAGATCTCACTTTCCACCTTGCAGCATCCATTCTTTTGGAGGTAGCACCTTCCACAAGGTTGCGGTGGTACAGTCTCCGATTTTGCCCTTCAGGACGAGTTCAACGAGTATAAGATGGTGCGTATCCGCCAGCAGCGCGAGCCCGAGCGCTTCTTGTGCCATTTTAAGTATAGAATGGTGTTGTTACGGGTAATATTTTTAGCCACCTGGCCAGAACAGCACCTGAGGCTTTTTTTTTATGTAGGGAGCGCCATCTGAGTCTCCAGCGGCTCGATTGTTTAAGTATGGCCAGCAGTCCAATATTATTAATACGAGAACGGTAACTCGCGACTTTTACATTGACACGTGGTCTATCTATACTCCGCCTTTCAATTAGCTTGAAGTACAACTGTCGTCCCGCTCACTAAACTCCAATTACTGTTACTTTCTTGTACTACAACGTGAAAACTGCGATCACTCTTCGGCCTCTCAAGGCGGTACGACTCTCTTAATTATTCAAAATCGTAATAATGTTTATTCTTTTTTCGCAGTGATATACTTGTGGATAGGAAAGCACGTGGGAAAGACCCAGTTTCAGGTAAAACATTATCCGAATGAAAGAATTTATTTTCGGCCTTTACTTTTTCATACACGAGGATGCCTACGACCAGCTCCTCTATGCCTTCCCCGAGCAGTACAAAGTGCGCATTGCCTACGAGGGTTTATATTGGGCTTCATTGGACCAACTACCATCCCTTGCTTAGCGCTTTAACTGTCCAGGCCACGAGCATCCGGAATTCTGGGGGCGGATTGGCGAGTCCTGCCTTCTAGAGAAACGCCCCGAATACGAAAGAGACCGCTACGACCACTTTTGCCGTCTCTTCCGCTGTTCGTCCTCCTCTGGTTTATTCAAAGTTCGCCTTCGAGAATTGCTACACGCCACTCCTCGCTAATCGCCTTCATTTCTGCAGGTCACCGAGTTAAGCACAGACTTTTGCCAAGACGATTTGTGCGACACGGATTGTTTTCTGCTAGGTAAGCGCCATCCTTCCTGCTTCAGCTCTCTTGCTAAGTCCACTGCTTTTGGTAGACACGCAGCTGCGGCTTTATTTATGGAAAGGCAGGCAGTGTAGCGAGTTTACCCGCAAACTTGCGCTTTTGGCCGCAAAAGTACCTTTTCTGGGTCGGCCCTTTTTGAGTTACTAACAGCACACTTGGTCGTAGGCATACTTGAAGGACAAAAGGAGAAGTACTTTGGAGCTGGAGGTGCTGAATTCTGGTTCGGAGCCTCAAGCCTTCACGCGCTACTTCTTCTCATGGAATTATAATGAATAACCATCTTTTATATAAGCGGAGCCAAAGTTCTATTGCTTTAAGATCTTGAAAGGATTGCTGTCAATCAATAGTGCGACTATCTATTTTTTATTAAATTTATATTAAATTTTAAATTCTTAAAAGTTTTGAAGGGTCAGCTGGTAGAGGCATTGAGGTAAAGGTACTGTACAAGATTTTAATCGATCTTTTTAAATCTTTTAAGACCTAGCTTTGAAAGATGCTTCACCCCTCAAAATTTTTAAAAATGTAATTAATTCCTGTGAATTTAAGCTTTATTGGGATAATCCTGAGGGATCCCAAGTTAGATCCCAATAAATCTATTACATAATTACTAGATAATAGTGAACACAACCCCCTTTACCTTTTACCTTCTGGATGGGTCGATTATATAAGGCATCTAGTACTTGGTTAATACCGTTTTGCTATAGTAGAGCTAACTATGGTTAACTTAGCTACTTCATTGCCAACCTGACTAGCTCTACATAGGAGGAAGCTGCTATAAGATTTAAACGCTTTTCTTTAATCCTTAATGCACTTATTCAAAGTTTATATACCGAACACTTCTGCCTAATAAAATAAGCAACCATTCCTACTCTTTTATTTAAAATTTAGTTAACATTCATACAAAAATAAAATAAAGGTATTTTAAAAACTTATTTTTCATTTAACTTTGCTTTTTTTTTCTTCTCTTTGGTATTCCGAGAGTAGGGAAAGCGAAGGATACCCTGTACGTGGAAGGGGTCAATAAAGTTAATAAAAATTTTTAGTTTATTATTGAAAGAAGTAAAATAGCTGCAATAGAAAAGATACATATTGAATCGTAAAATATTAAAAGCCAAAAAGAAATGTTTGAAAGGCCCAGAAATACTTGGTGGATAACTTGTATTTATTCGCCAAATAAAAAGCAATAACGCTCTCTATTCCATGAACAGCCCAAGGAAGGTACCAAATAATCTATTAGAATTTAAAAACAGAGCTTAAACTAAACTGCATAAAGAAACACAGGAAGGGTTGGATAGCAATCGATGGAAATAAATTCTGTGAGTTGTTGTAGTGTAAACAACGTCTGAGACTCACTTTATCTCCTTTCACGATGGTTTAGAAATAAATTAAGGACTACTTAAGAAAAGTTATTTGTTTGTGGGATAGTATGAAAAATACGTCAGTAGTCCTACTTAGCGAAAACACTCAGAACAAATATTTTACTTTTTTTTTAAAAAAAATTACCAGTTAAAGTTAAGTCCAAAGTTATCAAGACCGAACTGAGAACCCGAGGTGTCTTGAAAAAGATAATATGATATTAGCAATAAAGATTTTAAAGTAGCTAAGAAAAAAAAGAAATGCTTATAACACTGAATCTTAAAATAGTTTAGAGCCTAATATTTGCTTGATAACATTACTCAAAAATAAGTTCAAAAGTAAGTGAAGATATGACAACATACATTGAAAAATGTATGTAAGCAGTATATAATGGTCAGTAGGCCAAAAAATCCGTATTAAAATTAGCTGAGTATAAGTATTAAAATACTGCAAGGAGAAAAATAATCTCATACTAATGGTGTAAGTCCATATAAGTAAATAAATACTTTGTTGGTGAATTTTACGAGTATATTTTAACTGACTTTTTAAAAAAACTATTTATTCTTTTCTTAACCCCAATAAAATTTTATCCTATTATAATTTTCGATTTTTTTCAAAATAAAAAATAAATTTATTTTACAATCTTTTGACGAAAAAGCTAGGTACGTATTTTTATGTACACCCTTTATTAGTGCCATTTCTATTAGCAAATGCCATAGAGCCTTTTCAAATAGTTCACTGAAAATCATCCATACTAACGAATAAAAAAAACTATTCACTAAGTTAATCTGATCACTGCCGCAAGTAAAGAACAAGGCGCCTTGGTTGCTGCCTTGACGGTCGTTACTACGAAGCCCACGTGAGGCAACAAGGAATATTTGTTGTTGATGACTCAAGTATTTCGCTTGAGAACACCACGGAATCTTCACGCTATTAAAGGTTAACAAGGCCACTAACAAAGGAGCTCGTTTCTTTGAAGTTAGTATAGCTTGCTTTGCTCTTCTTCGCATTTATAGTACCAATTTCATCACTGCACCAGACAGGCAAGGGCCTCAAGATAGCGCTGTAGATGCTTGCATAGCGAGGCGGGTGACTTCGATGAGAAATATACGGCCGTATCATCAGCGTAGAGGGCGATTCGTGTGTGTGGGTCGGATGGCAAGGGTACGTCGCTCATGTAAATTGCAAATAAAAGGGGAGAGAAGTAACCCTTGAGGGGACCCCTGCTGGCAGAGATCGATGCGGCCACCGGGTATCTTCCTTGTGCACGCTGAAGACGCGACCATTCAGATATGATTTCAGCACGTTTTAAAGGCCATGAGAGTGGGACAACGAGCGCAATTTGTGCAAGCAGACCTCTACGCCAAACTTGGTCAAATGCTTTTTCAACGTCAAGGAAGACAGCGCCTGTTGACTTCTTATGGTTAAAAGCGCAAGTAGTCCATTCAGTGAAGCAGAGGAGCTGCTGGGTCGTTAAATGCCCTTGCCGAAATCCAAACTAAAAAAAAAATTCGGTAAAGCTTTCCGAGCGTCCACGATCCTTTAAAACGGTCTCACCCCACTTTGCCAGTCGCTGACACTAGGCCTGATGGGCCGAGTCGGTAACTGCTAGATGCTGATTTCGGTTTAGGTGTTTTTGGTAGTCTCACAAGGATCGCCGTCTTCTATCGAACCGGAAAGACGCCCAGGAGCATCGAAGATTTTATAAGGAGGTGAAGATAGTGCATCCCTATTAATGGCATTTTCTTCAGCATCTTATTAGTGATGCCGTCGGGACCAGGCGCTTTTCGTTTAGGTAGCCCTTCGACAACTGCTTGCGCCTCGTCAACATTAACTAGGTCAATAGGTTCGTTGTTAACGGTTGGGGATAAGCTCAGCTGAGGGAAGGCATCATTAGCAGTATAGTGAGCAGCTGGCACATTTTGGATAGCACGAACATTGGCGAAAAGCGTAGCTTAAGCTCCATCACTCTCGGCCACTATATTTCCTCCACGAAGGTGCGGGGGGAGTGGTGAAAGCCCCTAATTTTTGATCCTTTTGACAAATTTACTAAAGGAGGATCGGTCGCTGCTGCCTGATTCTGATATACGATGCAGTTTGCTCTCCCACTAATTAATGAAATGGGTCATTAGCTTTTTTCAACGCATCGGTGAAGTCGATTAAGCGCAAGTTTGTCTTCGGCGCTCTGCAACAACATGGCTACTCGAATAAGAGGTCGACGCTTGGCAGAGAACTACCTTTAGTTTTTCAGACAGACGGCCGGGGCGGTACTCTTTATTGTGTAAAATTTATATACTCCAAAAAAATTAGTAAATTAAACACCGTGATTAATTAAAATGTATCAATTAAATTCGGTCTAAATTGTATGCTGTAAAAAGAACATATAGTTGACAATTCGGAATAAGTTATTAAAAATGTTTATCTATATATTTCAAATTTTAAACACATAATTTTTTTATTATTAATGGTATTTTCTGGTTTGCTCGGTCAGGTTAAAAAAAAAAAACATAAAGTTTACGAGCCCTCAACAGGGTGATAGAGCACAAATTAGATTTATGCTTGTGTTATTATATATATCCTTTTAATTCTAGCACTAACTTTTATTACTACAACGTAAGTTATTTCTCAAATATATTAAAATTTAGTCTTTTAAATTATTCTTTTTATGAATGACAATAAAAAAGAGAGATTTGGGCGTCCAAAGAAAAATTTATTAAAGATGGGATGCAATAGTGTAGTGAGGCAACGTTTAGAGAAAGAGGTTGCGAATATGGTTGATGAGACAGATTTTTTAATACTAATATTAATTAGAGGTAGATCACCACTGGGTAAGGGGTAATGGTTTAGTGGTATAATGCTCGCTTAGGGTGCGAGTGGTCCGGGGTTCGATTCCCCGTTACCCCCCGATCGGCAGGTTTTTTAAACTTTTTCTCTTAAATCTGTCAAAAACGAGTTTTTCTTCAGCCGCTACATTTTGCGTTTCCCCATCTTATCTCCTTTTTTACCATGGTAAGGTCATTCAGTTAGATGCTCCAAACCTGATAATAAACCGCCATTTTAATCCTGTAAGCGCTTGTTGGCTGTAATAACTTTTTTAATAAGTGGGACAAGACAAAATAGTGGTTTATTTAGTTATGACAATATTTTAAAGAAGGTTTTCCAGTTGTTGCAACTTATAAATATTATACAGGTTATAATTTTTATTTACACTGGTCCCGTGAAATTGCTTGTTCGTAATAGTTTTGCTGCGTTAAGAAAGTGCAAAAGTTCTAAAAAAGTTCTAATTCTTTTATTTATAACATATTCGTCCTTCGTCAATACGAAAACTCTGAAAAGTAATGGTTTTCCTGTTTCGGTTTATATTTCTATCAAAGGTTTAAAGGAGCCTAAGACATCTCTTAGTTGCCTTTTAATAAGAGATAAACCTATAGTAAAAAGTATACTTTTTCTAAAATAATTTCTTTAAAGGAATATTTGGTGGACTACTACCTTATACCTTTTTTAAGCTTACATACAAATTTGAAATGTAAGAATAGCTAACTCTTAAAGGAGTAAACACAATTAGTTTTTAAATCCGGAATTACAGAATTTTTAATATTTAGTTGAGAGGTAATTCGCTTACTGCGGGAACTGCAATAAAGTACAAGTCTACGTAGATTATAAAGTTGGAGATCAATTTAAGTTTACTTGAAATAACAGGAATAACGTAAAAAAAAATCACTGTCATAAAAAAATTCCTTTTGCCAAAAATATAACAGATTTGTCGTAAAAATAATATTATATAAAAGAAACATAATTTTTTATTTAATCTCTGACAGAAAAGATATAAGCGTATATTTAAAATTTTAAGAAACAAGGCAGAAGTAGAGAGTTCAGGTTTACTCACTTAGAAGAACATCTTCTAAACTGTCCACCTCCATAGAAACAGCCAGAGAGGTCGAAGGTGGGAGTGCTAGTGCATAGAAGTTCTAAAAAAAGACTAATAGGATAATCAATAAAAAAAATTAAGTAAAAGAGAAACTTCTTTATGGCTTCCCGCCGCAAACATAGCGGGCGTGGAAGTCACAGACGCAGTAGCCGATTCGAAGAGTTTTACTTTATATAAGAATAAACATAAAAGTACTT